ATGGATAGCCGGGCTGCGGGGACGGGCCTTTATTATAAATCCAAATTGCCAGCTTCCACATCAACCAGCACATTCCATGCAAGCCATCTTCCAACCACAGAGCCACGATGTCTGATAAGTCCAGTCTTCTCATGTTCGGTGCCACTGGCACCATTGGCAAGTATATTATCGAAGCGATTGTCAACGCCCGGGATTCCTTCGGTCGCATCGCTATCTTCACTAGCCCCAACACCGTCAGTAGCAAGGCCGACGAGCTCAATGTCCTGCGTCAGAAGGGGGTCGACATCTTGATTGGTGATATTGGCAATCGCGAAGATGTGCTTAAGGCATACGCAGGTACATTACTGCCGCAATCCACCCTTCCATTACATATGCACCTTGATCTAATCAACTACACCAGGGGTGGACACCGTCATCTCCGCGCTCGGTCGTGGAGCCATCGCAGCTCAAATTCCTCTGATCCAACTGGCCAACGAAACCCCCAATATCAAGCGCTTCGTGCCATCTGAATATGGCACGGATATTGAATACAGCCCCGCCTCACAGCACGAGAAGCCGCACCAACAAAAACTGAAAGTCCGCGCAGCTCTTAGAGAGGTCCGCAGCACCCTGGAGTACGCCTACGTGGTAACTGGACCCTACGCCGATCTCCCCTTTTTCTTGGGTCGGTCAAGCAATTCCAAGGCAGGCAGTTTCGATGTATTGGCTAAGAAGGCTGTCATCGTGGGAAATGAGCATGGCAGAATTAGCGTCACGGCGCGTACAGAGTATGGTGACCCCTGGGCTGATCTTTATCTTCGTGATTCGATATAGCTAATGAAATATAGCGTTGGTAAGTTTGTTGTGCATGCACTCACCCATTGGGAAGCCGCTCGCAACCGCGCACTCAAAGTCAACTCATTCACCACCACCCCGGCCGATGCCTTGGCCGAGTTTGAACGCCAGACCGGTACCAAGTGGAGCGTCGAGTATACCTCACTAGATGAGCTGCGGGCTTTGGAGAAGGAGGCGTGGGAGAAGGAGGACCCCGTGGCTACGGTCTACACACTTCGGCGCATCTGGGCGGAGGGAGGCACACTGTATGAGCGCCGGGATAACGAAGATATTGGCGTGACAGAGACGAGAGGCCTGCAAGAGTTGGTGGCTGACTCTATCCGGGCACAAATCGAGGGGGTCCCAGCGAAACATTGAGTTATGGCCAGATATATGCTTTCCATAGGATGTATTGTTTGTATCCCACCTGCTCCCATGCCAGATAATGCTTGGTCATTCGTTTGCCTTCAGATGAACAATCGGTGGGCATATTCAGGAAATAGCTCCGGAGCGGTAGATAATACTCCCCTGTGTAGAACTCACCGGGTCAACCCGAATAATATCGCTGGGCCAACTCATTAGCAGGGCTGAAACTCCGTAGATGGCGCCAGGGCATTCCTTGGGAGCCTTGGGACTTCACGCGCACTGGCCGAGTGGCAGATTTCTTGGCATCTTAGGAAGTACCTCACGTCCATGTCAGAAAAACTGCCCTCCTTGTTGAATACGACCTAGTTCTTGGTCGAGTCGAAACACCACAACCCGCACATCAATAAGCGGACTTCAGCACCCTGTGTGTATATACCTCCGAGACTTTGCCTGGTGATCATCCGAGAGATTATTTGAGATGAATTTTGGTCCTTGGCATTCCCTAGCAGTTGCAAACGTGTCTTGCCGAATTCGATTGGATAGTGAGGCGGTATCGGCGATGTGGGGGGACGCTTCGAAGGGAGACAGATGCAGTTGTTGTTCTTCCACACCTCTAGCCAAGTCTCCAGCAAAGTTAGGGATCACGGGGGTGGGGGCAAGGGAGTATCTGGCTATGGTGAGGCCCAATCAGCAGCGTACCAAGAGTGCTTAAAGTCCGTATATGTGGCTTGGTATAGTCTTGGTGTGATGACACTCATCCTGGGTAGCCGGGAGTTGTATTGTATCCATTGTGACAACTTCACACTCCCACGGCAACCATTGAAACTGCCATATCGCACAGCTTGGCCGTCAATAGCTAGCGACCTCATGGACGCCTTTTCATTGTCATACAAAGGACTGTCGCGACCTCTCTAACGGAATATAACCCTCCGTGCAGCTTCTCGCGTACACAGGCAATGCTGGTGCGAGCTGCATAGAGACGCAGTATGACCGCAGTGCTACCTCCGGTGTGACCTCCTCGCCTCGACGTCTCAAGCGACGGGGGATCTGACCCTCTGGCGAGTGGGGATAGTTGTGGATCGGGGTTGAAATGTTGTGATCAGTTGATAACCGGGAGTTTACGGACCGAAATGCTCCGTTGGTCTAGTCTAGAAGAGGCTAGCATTGTATGGGCGTCGTCCTCGTGACTAACTGGCCAATAAGAGTGTGCTTTGGGCTATTACTCAGCGGGACATCCCCTCGTCCCAAAGAGGAAGGACTGGAACTGAGTGACAACCCTCATTTCGACTTCAACATTTACCCCCTGTTGAGCATACTGTGCGGGAATGTCCAAGCTCTGTATCTCGGGAAATACCTCGCTTAATTCCTTCCCCTGCACGGTCTTCCCCGCAGATTTCAGATCAGTCATTGCGTCATGCTGGCTGTGCCCACAACTAGCTCCTTTTGGCTGCCCCAGATTATCGGCTCCCTACTGTCTCTGAATTAGCCCGTCCTGGCCACGCTGCTTTACTGTCCGTAACCCCCTCTCATTTCCTTCTGACTGCTTTTGTTTCTCCGAGCAAGGTCGGCCATGTGCGGAAATGAGTCCCAAGCGCCAGTCTTCTCCGACCACCCCCCGGGCCTGTCAATTCTGTCGCGTCCGCAAGATCCGTTGTGACAACGAGAAACCCACCTGTGGCTCCTGTCAGCGTCATGATCGACAGTGTGTTTATGTGGTCGACCCACCCCGCCAGAGGTAGGTGTTCATCCCACCTGGATGCCTCTCGCCATCCATGGCTGCAATTATCTTGCCACGCCTGCGCTGACGCTGCTGCCCCAGGCCGTCGCGAGCTCTCATCAATGCCGCTCACCGCCAGAGGCGTGCGGCGGAGAATGTAATCATTGCTCTGAAAAAGGCTGATCCGGTTGCTCGAGCTGCTATCCTGGATTCGATCCATGTCAAGGACGGCGTCCTGCAATTGCCGGCATCATTGGCCGGCCTCGGTGCCAATATCAACGACCCTCCAGTCTCCCAACCCACCCAAGCCTCGGACAATAGCTCAAATGTGTACAGTACGCCCAATGACGAATTGAATGATAGTAGCTCCGAAGACGAGGACTACGATCCCACCACCTTTCTCTCCCACGATGAATGCGGCACCGTCGGCATCTTTGGCCCGTCGTCGGCGTTGCATGCCCGGAGCCCCCTGGGTCTAGCCAACAGTGCCAACTCACGACCTGCCGCAGAGCCGGATCGATACCAGCTTATCGCCGAGGCTGCCCTCCAGCGCCAACGTGAACCTGATCTGCGACGTCTGCCCACCATTGGAGGGATACCGTCCGAGTTGGCTCTGCATCTGCTCGATCTGCACTGGAACCGGCAGCATCACACATTTCTGCTGACCTATCGCCCCGCCTTCATGCGTGACCTCGTTACTGGCGGCCCGTACTGCTCAGACTTTCTGCTTAACGCCGTCTTCGCTTGTTCGAGCAAGTTCTCGACCCGTGTTGAGGTGCGGGAAGATCCGCAACGGCCCGAATCGGCTGGCAAACGGTTCTTCGACCGCTGTGATCAATTGCTGGCAGAACAGTCGCTCTTGACTCATTCGAGCATCCCGACCATTGCCGGTTTGATCATGCTTGGTAGTACCTTCAATGCGCGGGGACAGACTTCCAAAGGCTGGCTCTATACAGGATTCGCCCTGCGCATGGTATACGACCTTGGCCTGCATCTGGATTGCAAGGAGGTTGCTGCCAGTGCGGAGGATATCGAGGTTCGGCGCCGGGTCTTTTGGGCGGCCTTTATATGTGATAAACTCCAGAGTTTGTACTTCGGACGTCCCTTCACGATTCAGCTGCGTGATGCACATGTGTCGCGAGACTTCATGGATACCTTTGAAGAGAACGAGTTGTGGATGCCATATATCGATCCCCTGAAACCAGACAGTACTGCTCGTTCTCACATCCCCACGCGCATCTACTCCGTGACCGTTTTTCAGCAGCTATGTTCCCTGTCCAAGATCATGACCAGCATTATAGACCGCTTTTACATGGCTGGTGCCACTGGAAACAAGACTCGCAAGCATCTTGAACTTATTGACCGTCGTCTGGAAGCTTGGTATCGTAAATTGCCGGCAGAGCTGCAGTTTGAGCCCTGGGCAGATGATGGCCAGTCGCCGCACGCCACTGTAGCACCCAATGTCATTATCTTGCTAACTACCTACAACGCCCTTATTATCTTACTCCATCGTCCGTTCATGGGTAGCGGGCATCTGCGCTCCGATGATCCGCCCGCGGACTCCTGGGAGCGTTGTGTCACAGCTGCTCGTAACATCACAAGCTTGGCGCTGGCCTATCGAACAGCCTACTCGCTACGCCGAGCCAACTACATGCTCAGCTACGCGGTCTATGTAGCCTGCACCATCCATGCGCGCAATCCAGCTATTCGGGAAAGCACACGTCGGAAAGAGGCATCGTCCCCGCTAACAGTGTGTCTGCGTTGTCTGGACGAGCTGGCCATCCCTAACTGTGGCGTATCGGCGCCATCTAAGATTATTCGCCGGCTCATGGAGGCCAACGGCATGTCCATCCAAACTGGTAAGCACTGCACAGTCTTCAAGAAGTCTTAAGGCCACTAACGAAGTTCAGGATGTGACCCGGCTATTCAAGACCCATTCCAGGTAGACATCAACTTAGACTTTCAAACCTTTCCCGGTCTGGACTTCAGTCCTGCGCGACTGGATCATGCCAATCAGATCTCTGGCTTCCAGGACTTCAATCAGGACCTGGACCTGTTGTTCGGGTTCATGAATGAGCCCGATGTGTCCATATCCTCCATGTTCACCGGGGTTGTACCCTATTAGCGACGTGTATATAGACCACATTTCGAAATAGAAATTTGGGGCTCAATAGATCCCATAAAATACATAACAACATCAAAACATCACATCATAGCACAGTAAATTCATTCCAACACTCTCGGATCCTCCTTGACCACCTGGTCATAATACGGCTGAAACGCCAACCACATCTTACTCGAGTTCCCACTCTTCCTATGCGTCATCTCCGCCTCCTCTTTGTTGATGTATACCTTCTCCCACCCCGGTCCGGTCGCCGCATTGGCCATCATCTGCGCATGACAGCACCGATCGAGGGCAATGAACAGGAAGGCCGCCTCATCGACCGTTCTACCGCAGGTAATCATACCGTGGTTCTGCAGAATCACACTGCGGCAGGTTGGACCGAGGGCCTTGGCAATGCGAGCCCCTTCTTCAGTGGAGAGAACGGTGCCTCCGTAGCGAGGGTACACAGCCAGATCGTTGTAGAAGCGCAGGGCGTCCTGATACAGCATTTCAATGGGCCGCGCAAAGCAGGAGAATGCCTTTCCGTAGACGGAGTGTGCGTGGCATGCGGCATTCAGGTCTGGGCGAGCTTTATGGATTTCACTGTGGATGGCGAATGCGGGTCCATTGATGGGATGCTGGGCGCCTCCGGGGAGAACTTCGCCATTCTCGTTGACGAGGACGAGGTCAGAAACTTTGATCATGGAAAAGTGCATGCTGAGTGGGTTGATCCAGAAGTGGTCTATTGTAGGCTTTGTTAGTGGGTCGTTGGGTTGCAGAGGGAAACACGGTCACTGACGAGGATTTAGGGGATCGCGTAGCGAAATATGTCCAGCCACTCCCTCGTCAAATCCCTGCCGGGCAAAGACACGGAAGGCCACGGCCAAATGCTGTTTCTGGTATGCCCGCTCATCTCCAAGGTTGTTGAAAGTCGGGGGCGAGCGGATCACAACCTTGCCCTCTTTGTCGCCTAGGAAGTGTACATCGTCGAAGAACTTGTTGGTCGAAGCTGATCCATTGCCGTGACCGTTCTGAGGGGCGGATTCAGTGACGGTGGTGGTGGCCATCGTTGGGGTCAACTCGTCAGTAGTATCGGATTATATATAGAGTCTGTACACTCAGAGGAGGTATGTATAGACAAACAGGGTTAGTCGAAAAGAGATAGGACCCAGGATTAAATGCTTAGACAAGTCGATCGACTGGCCCCGAGACTGACGTATCTTATACCCTATCCACGTGTCTGTTTCCAGAAAGCATAGAATCTCCGTGTCAGTGGTCATTGCTGGGTGAGCCAGTCGGCGCGGTAAATCCAGCGACGGAGGATTGTTCTCCGTCGGACGGAGGTGTAGATCCGCCTCGGAAAGTGGCAAGTAATGGTCCATTTTCAACTCGACAAACTGTTTGTCTTGTCCCCGCAAGTGATGTCAGCGGGGATGCGTTCGATCCAGCGTGTGCGCCATTACCATTATTATTTCTTCCTCGCACTGGTCGTGTGGTGTGTCTATCAAAATTGCTTTCACCCCTTTACACAGCATCTTTACATCACAGCGCAATCGTCAACATGAAGGCAGTTGGGGTAAAAAACGGCAAAGGCAATGCCGATGCTCTCTTCATCGAAGATGGTGTGCCTGATCCCGTTCCGACAGGCAATCGCATCCTGGTTCGCATTAAGGCATTCGGTCTCAATCGCATGGACATAATGCAAAGAGAGGATCGCTACCCATACCCTTTATTGCCCGAATCGGGGAAAATCATGGGAGTGGAGTTTAGTGGAATTGTAGAAAAGAAGGGGCCCGATTGTGAGCTACTACATTGATCATTGCGAGACCATTGGTTGACAGTAACAGGCTCCGGGGATTTCCAAGTGGGAGACAAGGTGTTCGGTCTTGCATACGGGGGTGCAGTAGGTGATTATTCACACCTTTCATGGAATTGCAGTTGACATGATATAGTATGCACAAAAGATCGCTGTGTCGGAAAAGATGCTCATGCATCTTCCTTCTACACTGAGATTTGAAGAATCTGCTGGTATCCCGGAGGTAGGATTAATTACCCTCACTGCATTCACTTCCACCCAACTGACCAGACAGACCTCTTTCACAGCTATTCAGGCCATTCACCTAGTCGGTAACCTTCAACCTGGCCAGTCGGTGCTCATCCATGCTGGTGCCTCTGGAGTCGGTCAATCTGCTATCCAGATCGCCAAAGTCGGCGGAGCATCGAAGATCTTCACGACTGCTGGGAGTGACGAGAAATGCGATTTGTGTCGCTCCCTTGGAGCGGACTTTGCGGTCAATTATCGCTCCGGAGAGGACTTCTCAGAAGTGGTCAAGCGGGAGACAAATGGACGCGGGGTGGACCTGATCGTGGATCTCGTAGGACGGGACTATTTTCACCGGAACATGGCCTCGGCAGCCATGGATTCTCGCATGGTCCTGGTTGCAGCTTTAAGCGGGAGCAAGGTGGATGACTTCGATCTGCGTGCATTGCTCAACAAGCGAATCTGGCTGATGGCTACAACGTTGAGAACGAGAGCTGCTGATTATCAGGGACAGTTGCGTGATCTTTTCTCTGAGAAGATTTTACCCCATATCAAGTCAGGCGAGGTGAAGACGACGGTGGATAAAGTGTTTCCATGGACTCAAGTATCGGATGCTCATAAGCGGTTGGAGTCGAATGTCAACGCTGGGAAGATCATCTGTCTGGTTAATGACGACTGAATAGATTTCACGTATAGCTTACAACTATGGTCAGATAGGTGATGTGTATATAACTGCCCGTTGTACTCATGACACAATTACAAGAAACGTTAGCTGAGAGCGACACAAACTCTGAACTGGATGTTAAGCTAGAAAGGGAGATGAAGAGACTTAAATGAAACTGGAAGCTGTACGCAAAGACTGCTGGCAGAAGCATAGCCTCATTACTCATCGAAATTTGACCACAAATCGACCGTCGCCCTCTCCTCTCTCGAGTGCCTGCAGACACGCCCCGATGTCCTCCAATCGCACCTCAACAATCATAGGTTTGACCCGACCATCACATACATACTGCAGTGCCTCGCGCGTATCCTCCATAGTTCCTGTGCTACTGCCAGTAAGGCGTACACCACGAGCCACAAAATATTCAGGACCGATAGGGAAGTGCATCTTGTTTGGTGCTGGAAGGATATCAGTACATGTGGTGGCAGGGATGCCTCACGTAGCTTACTGATCCCAATGCAGACTATGATCCCCATTTTCCGGACGTATTGCAGGGCCTGTTCATAAGCCCTACTACTAGAGCTAACCACAATTACTCCATGAGGACCTCCATCAGTAACACGGATGACATCTGCTGTGAGATCCTGCAAAACGTCCGTTAGCCACATTCTGCCTAGGCTAGCAGTCTGCGTACTAGTGTATCCATGAAATCAATGTATAAAGTGACACCCAATTTGCAAGACAACTCCCGTTTACTTGGGCCTGTGTCAATTCCAAGAACCCGCAGCCCGCTCGCTTTGGCGTATTGTATTGCCCTGGTCGGAGGTTAGCGTTCATTAATCCATGGGATCATGTTTGAAGGACATCTCACAAGTGGCCCAGTCCGCCTCCAGCTCCAATAATTGCTATCCACTGCCCAGAAGTGAGGCCGGTCGTACGAATAGCTCTATATGCCGTTGTGCCTGAAATTCCCGCTATTATTTAGCATCAACACGCTCGCATGGGGTCTTCCACTCATACCAGCACACAAGGTCGGCGCGGCTTCAGTTGCAGGGATATCTTCAGAGATGCGCATCAGATATTTCGAATTGACAATCGTGTATTCTTGCATATTTCAGTTATGGTCAAAACTTGTGGTGTGGGTTTGTGATGAGATAGTACCTCCCCAGCATCCCTCAACATCCTTTCCACTAAGCTTTCTCGAGTCGCATAGCTGCTCGTTCCCTTCATGGCACATCTCGCAATTCCGGCAGACATCGAAGATCCACCGATGAGCGACTCGGTCTCCCAAGCGCCACTCTGAAGTGTCTACATCCGGCCCGAGAGCAACAATACGCCCAACACCCTCATGACCACAGACGTCGACCTCCCGTTGAAGGTAAGGAATACTTCGTTGCACGAGATGTAAGTCTGTCGCGCAGATACCGCTCGCTTCAATTAATACCACAACCTCCGAGTCATTTGGTATTGGCAGGGGGCGCTCTTCAACTTTGATATGTTGGGTATCAATGCATACAGCCACTTTGCGAGTGGCTGGGATATCAGTACTCATGTTAAATACTGCTATGTCTGCCCAAATATGCACCTTTCTTTTTTCTGGAAAGATATCGGTATCAAACAACCTCGTTAGAAGTCAACCCTCGAGTTGTGAAGAGTTCTTAAGTGTTGTAGGGAAGCAGCCATCCGCCTGACATGGAGCCGAGGAGTGCGGGGTCTCCACAACTGCTGGCGTATTTCACGTATTGCATCGGGGACGAGTGACCGACAGTCAATAAGGTTGCGAGGTTTGGTTGTGACAGCCGGTGGCAATTTGGGTTGAAGAGTATACATCGAAAAAACATGACCGTATAATCCAAGTCTTGGGAATCATGTTGTTAGTTGCCTTCGCTACATGGAAATACCTGGATATACTGCGTTGGACGAAATCTACGCACCGAGCCTATCTTGGTCATTCAGTGGTCTACCGAACGAGAAGTATCCTTTGTTCTTCATTCTAGTGACATGTCTTTAAACGTCTAGAGATGAAAGGGTAATCTGCGTATGTCATTACCTAAGTCCATCGACAACTCCCTGACATTATAGCACAGCACTTCTGAAACGTGGCTCTGCAGTGGCCTCTTCCATCTTTTCAGCATCGTGGCTGAATAACCATCCTCGGCGAAGCTCGTATCCCCAGAATATTGGACTAGACGGACTGTCCTGTCGCATAAGCTCATCACGCCGGCACTGCTCCTCACCGTCATCAATGTGTAAGATGTATTGGTGCTCTCGCGTCTTAGACTGAATCAAAGACGCTCTAGGTTTGCGGATACGCTCATAACGCTTCAAAGCACTGGTGATATCGGTACCCTCGGCCAGAGCCCTGCGAATTGTGGCAGCATCCTCAGCTGCCTGAGCAGCTCCTTGCGCCAGATACGGTAGCATGGGATGGCAAGAATCTCCCAAGAGGCAAGCCTTGCCTGACGAATGGATCCACGTGGAAAGGGCCGGAAGGTCGCATAATCGCCACTTCATAAAGGCCTTTGTCAGACGACATAATTTCTGCACCCGGGGCTCCCAACCGGAAAATCGGGCGCAAAGCTCCTCGTTATCACCCTCTACCACCCAAGTCTCGTCTGTCGTCTCTCCTTTCGATGTCGCACACACTACTATGTTGTACAGCTCACCATCCCGTATGGGATATCCGACGAGGTGGGCATCTGGCCCGCACCACGACGTTGTTGCCGGGTGCTTAATGAGACCAGCGAGATCCGGGTCGGCCAGAAGATCCTGACCAGGTACGAGGATCCGATATGCGACGTCTCCAGTGTCTCGAGGACAGTCTGGCTGACTTGTTAGGAGAGGTCGAGCAGTGGACTTGATACCTATAAGTTCCATCAGTCCAGTCGTCCATCAATTTGGGCAGAAAAGCCTACCGTCCGCACAGATGATGAGATCAGCCATCCATTTCTCGGTTTCTGCCGTGATAGCCATTGGGACGTTGAAGTCGTAGGAGGTCACATGTCGATTCTCATGAACGACCACTCCAGCTTCGATTGCGGCCCCTAGTAATGATGCATGCAAATCGGCTCGATGAACCAGGTAATATGGTTCACCATGACGTGGGACCATGTCCTCGAATTCGATCTTCGTTATTGTCGAGCCGTCTTCCCAGCGCAGGAAATGGTATCCTCGACAAAGGCATTTTCGCATTTTGTCAAAATCGATCCCCCATCGGCGGAGAAGACGAGTGCTGTTGGGTGGGATGCGGATACCCGCACCAGCCTAATTGTTCGCGCATTAGCTCACTTTGCTCAACGAAGAAGTGACCGGCTTCATTCTTGCCTCTTTGAACTCAGGAGAGGCATCAAGAAGAGTTACTCTGTGTCCATCTTGCCGCAGAGCCAAGGATGCAAACAGACCACCGAGTCCAGCGCCCACGATAAGAATGTTCAAAGCTTCAAATTCCAGAGACATTGTAAGGTTACCAGGGCATCCCACCGTGAGCTTCTACAGTATGTATCTGTTGTGGCCTTATGAAGCATGTCATGGGTCAGTTATTGTGAAGAACTGCAGCACAGATCCGCGTCTCGGACTCGAGTCCTCGGACCGGGGATGTATGCATCCGGAGTCAATATGTTACCCGAAAAGAAAGACTGCAGCATTTGCGCCTCCCAACTGTGGCTGTTCTGCCAAAATTAAGAGGTCTACAATTCTGTCAGCTGACATTTGCCCCGGCTGTGACACACCCGGATCAAGTTACCAAGTTGCTGCTAAGAGAAGAATCTGTGCTCTCTCCGTCTCGCCTGCTACCGGGGACATTCTGCGCCTACATAGCTATAGCGCTGGCAAAGCTAGTTTGGGATTCTCGCTTCTTAGCTGCTGGAAGTGCAATAACTGTGGGTACGATCTCTCAGAGCTTTGCAAAGGAGAGAAGATAATTGAATATGCCTGGTTTTCTCTCTGAGCGTCGCACCCGCTGGCAACGCCTGGCTAGGTGTTACAATATGGAAACCTACAAGTGCCCTTTAATACTATTCCTGGACTGTGGTGCTTTTTACCTGTGCTTTTTTATCATTGGACTAGGGTCAGCCAAGCTGCTTTCAATCTTGATACCTCTGTTAAACTGAGCGCTACCGCCGTGAGCCGATAATCACTGGTTCAGCGTCTGTTGGGGGTATTTCTCGGTGTGAATCAATGCTACGCTCATCTAGTGAGGGCTCAGAGAAGACTATACTTGCCATGCAACATCACTGGTTTGACCGTACAGAGCCCGAAGGGTGTCTCCAAGGCAGCTTGTTGACTTCTAGTGCGAAGGCTATGCATGTCGATGGATTTTCATTCACTTCTATTCTGGTTATAGTATAGACAGGGGGCAGATTGACTGCGTTTTCTGTTCATTATAGATTATATAACAAAGACGGTTTTCTTTTCTCTGTGAAGTCATCGTATTTTACACATATATATACTCCTTTCTTTCTGTTCTTCTCGTCCTTCCCAAGATAGGAGTGAATATATGTTTATATTATTCTTTGGAACCAACTCTGAGTGGTGTATCAGTGTCCAACATGACAGGTGCCAGTGAGCTTTCATGCCCGCGTCGAACATACTCAAGAGCTCGATTCCCCAGCACATGATAATGTAGAGCCCAGCGAAGTGTTATCTGATGATGGCAGCAGTAGTGGTAATAACTACCACCGCTTGGACACCACCATGGAAGCTATGAGTGGATGGGAGGCCATCCGAGGCTCCGGCTACATGTATCCGCCGATCCCCCTCCCTTTGCCGAGCGAGCTCAACTGTCATATCCTACAATCGGGATATCACCCACCACTTCGAATACTGTCTGCGGATCGATTCTTCCTGAACAAGTCTATTCCCAAGGATGGAGAAACGTTTAGCCAGCCGTCGCGTTCCTGATGAGTTGCGGAAACGTACATTCGCGAGCTGTGACACCTGCCGGAAGGCAAGTGGCGACCTTATCCTGCCTGGCTTACTCTTTTCCAGTGACAGTTATGCTAACTAGGATGCTTTAGCGTCGTTGCAAATGTATCCGTCGCGGAGGCTCAGATGAGGACTGTGTCGCTTGCCAACGATCTGGCATCCCGTGCGTATCCAGCTATCAGCGAAAGACACGATTGTACGGAAGTGTCGAAACCATCCGCGATCGGTATGCCGGATTGATCCTCCCTCAATCTACTGTATAGCCGACTAATAATATTGTAGGATTCTTTGTCTTGAGGCACTTGTGAAAGGGACATTTCCGGGTGAGCCCATTGATAGTATCCCTGCTCTGTTGGAGCTGGGCCGGAAAGCCGGCTATGAAATGCCCAAGCTAGACCTCCCACAACAGACCGGGTATGCGCAACGCGTTGAGCCACTGAGCCCAGAAGGTGCTGATCAGATTCTGACGCATGATGGCAATGGTAGCGATCAACATGGGTGTATTGGGACCGGCCAGCGCCCACCGCAGCTGGTCAAAGACAGCCGGGGCCATAGTCATTACATTGGGCCGTCAGCATCCCTTGCATTCTTTGCTGATCTTCGCAGCCTAGTATCGGAGCAACAGCCGTCCTCTTGCTTTGCTGCAGATACTTTGACGGAGTCTCTCGAGACTCGGCAAAGTTCTAGTATGTTGTCAACGTCAGCTGTTGATACAAATCTGGCGCCAATTGCACGCGACCAAGAATCATCCCGTGTCAAGGAACAGCTGCACAAAATGCCCCGAGATCGTCTGCTGGCAATAGTGAATGCTTTCTTTTACTCTGTGAATGCAGATTTCCCACTTTTGGACCGGGGATACTTCTATAACAAGCTTGAGTCCTACATCTATCCCATCAGTCATACTGAGGGATTGGACGATGGTTGGGTGGCCTCTATCCATGCTGCTCTCGCCTTCGGCTGCTGGATCCTGGAGGATGACGCTAGATTCGATGCCGATGAACTAACCATGCTAAAACCTCGCTGCTGGAACCTCGCTCGAGGAGCTTTGGCCAGCTTGTTGACCACATGTACAGTCTCTAATATTCAAGCTCTTTTGCTTATGGCACTCTTCCTGCACAACAACAATGATCGGAATGCAGCGTGGACCCTAACAGGTAGTGCTGCGAGAATTGCAATTGCGTTAGGCTTGCATCGAAGCGATATTGATGAGAGCCTTCGTTTAACTGAACAAGACTCCCGAAGGCGAGTCTGGTCTACATTATTTACGGTTGAGCAATTTCTCTGCTTATGTTTGGGACGCCCAAGTGTAATTGACGGTCGGGAAGTAACCCTGGGACCTGCACCCGAAGAATCTGCTACTGCATTCCCCAGTCATCCTAGCCATCACCAGGTGGCCACTGACCTTCAACGACAAGTCAGTCGACTCCGCGATGCGATCGCTTTCTTGCATCAGCCTGCTTTCCCTGTATCATCAACTGATACGCCGGTCACTGATCCAGTATCGCTCTTGACCGGGCTGAAAACTTGGGAAACTAACATACCAACTTATCTCATTATACCGTCTGCTATCTTGGATTCGTGCACCATTCCCCAAGCGGCAGTTCTGGAAGCGTTCGTTTCTGGTTATCCACCGGCTCAACTACGGCCAACGGTTCTCCTCCATTTAACCTATAATAATCTCGTTATCCAGCTTACGCGCCCATATTTGCTTACAGTTATTTCAATGAGTCGAAGGCATAACCCAATACAACAATACCCTTGGGCTACACCTCATGATACTTGGAAAGACGTGCAAAAGAGCGCTGAATATCTGGCCTCCAGTTGTGTAACAGCAGCGATGCGGATTGTTAACCTTCTCATCCTAATTGAACATGCCAACAGGGTCAATGGAAAAACTAGCCTGGACCTTTTCTATGGGTACTCGGCTGGAATGGTTCTGCTCCTCCGTCAGCTGTGGGTCATGCCCCGGGATCTTCCAATGTCTATGTGGCAGCTAGAAGAGGCAGCCCAGCGTGATCTTCGACGTCAGGTGACAAGGTTACAGTCCCTAATGCAAGAAAACGCGGAGTGTCCGACCATGCAGAGGTTTAAGTCAGTGCTTCAAAAGTTCGACGAAGCTGTTCTTGCGAGCGGGCAACGGATGCGAAGTGAAAATAATGAAGTTGCATCTTTGGACGTGGCGCAGGAGGGAGGCATAGAACCTTTGTCGACCTCACAGCTCCAAATTCCTAGCGTCGATGGGACTAATAGCGACCTATATGGTACAATGTTAGGTAGCCCAAGCCTGTGGCAAGATTCCCTACAGACGATCACCCAATACAGTCTCGACTGGAGCAACTTTGAGCAATTTCTTGGCAGCATGAACGTGGCATAGGATCCAATGGCTACGTGGCTACTCTGAATGAAACTTCTCGAGATGGCAGCTTTACGTCGTGCAGACCTCGACATCAAAACCATATTCATTCTGTCAAGACTGCGCTCACTGATCCCTCAAACCCCAATCCATCAAACATGTCATTTCCCCCAATGTGCTTAATCCATTCATGATCACTACTGAACCGCAAAGTCCTGCATGCGACACGGACTTCATGATTACTGGTGATCTATCTTAGGCATCCACACAAAAGTTCAGTGTCATAGCCCGGCGGATTTTCTCTCCTTCTTTGATGAAATCCTCGACGTTGTGTCGTGCCCTGGCCCAATGCTCCCTGTTGAACTGGCAACGATGGTTGACATAGTCGATCTTGACTTTGACAGATCCTCTCTCATCCTCCCCGCCCTCTTCGTAGACCCGGAACATTGTAGACTTGACCACTATGACATCCTGTTAGTGGCTGCGTCACCGGAGACGGTAATATCTGCCTACCAGGATTTTCCCTGCCATCAGCACACACTTCCACATTGGTGAAATGGTACTGCTGCATGTCGTCTTGCTTGCGTGCAGCAATGATGCGGTTGATGATGCGCAAGACAACGCCAAACTGTGCCGGCAGGTTTTCCTTGGATTCCAGCCGCCCGCGCAGCTCCTGTTCGACCTTCTTGTTCATGCTCTTCTCATCGGTCTTCAGCTCAACGGTAAATTCCTTCTTGTCGGCTTCCACCAGCCTTCGTGGCGAAATGTTAGAAACCACTCCGAGGAAATACACTCTCAGCATGGAAACTCACCAGGATTCGTGCTCCTTGCGCAAATACTGGATCGCCTTGCTGCGATAGTCGGTGCGTCTGACGCGCGATTCGTTGTAGTCATCGGTTGGCAGATTTCCCTTCTGCATCAATTCATTGACCTGGGATTCAGCGCGCCCAAGTTCAAAGGCGTTCCAGGTCTCCAGGTCATGTCTCAACTCCTGCACTGCCTTGCGATGCTTGTCGGAGACCAGCTGATTGTAGTAAATGAAGAGGAGACTAGGGGTGCCATAGTCACCAGTCACATCCACTCCCTCTGGAGCGCCCACGAATTTGTGTCCATTATCACCAGACAAGGGAGACGCGTCCATTTTTGGAAACCTCCTGTAGACAAGACTGTGGCCGGATATATAATCAGACAAGGTTTCCTATGATCTGGGAAAGATGCTTAAGCTGTCGATGGATAGAATTCTAGCATGGCTTTTCAGTGGGCAATGACTGGGCTTCTTATAGTTTCGTGGTCCTGACAACAGAGGCGTTATGTTTTGTAGTGTTCTAAAGCCTGTGTCAATGGCTAAGCACTCATGTTACCATAACTTACTTAGACTACAGATAGCAGCGGTTCCTACGACATCCAAAGTGATGCAGATGCGTAAGACTCCGCTGCATCCGACATCAGATTATGCTCCCCATGCGCCCAACGCAAAGCGATGTTAGCTATTAATCGATATCTCAGGTGCTTTGGCTTTGCCTGACTTACCTTCGGGCACTTCATTGCATCGTGGAGCAGATGCAAGGTAACTCTCAAATGCACGCATATTTTTCACGTACACGAACATGGGCTTTTCTCCGGGTCAGAGAAGGGTGTTTCAGGAATTGTTCATTCTATGTTGACATTGCACATTTTACATGGAGTCCCAGCAAGTACACAGGATCCTTCTTAGTTTAACTAGGTTCCCACTTATAGTTATGGATTTACGTACGGTGGGCAAAATTATCCATAATTTTTGGAAATCGATAGCCGCTTCAAATACCATTCCGACAATGGCATACTTCCACGGAAATATGAGCAAGTGCCATCGTAGAGAGATAGGTGCGTTGCTCCTCACACACGCACATTCCACGTCCACATCCAGTTTGTGGCTTTAACCACGATACAGTGCAGCCAATCTTGTTGTACGAGATGTACGCAACGTAACAAGCTTAAACGGCACGATGGGGTAAGCCTTGGCACAGACATCCTCGGGCGACTCAAAACAGCTACTTTGTTACGTGGAATGGAGGCCCAAGCTCACCATGGCTAGTCATGATGGCTTCATCTGATGCACGGAGTATAAGCAGCTGCGACATGACAGATTCCTACCACGTCAACCACAGCGCATCTCAGCTACGACCCTAGCAGACAATCACAATTCTGTCAGCGTTGTCTCGCAATTCGCATCAGATCGCCGTCAGCATATATCCAACAAGTGCAGACGATGCAGGTCCACGCTCGAATAGCCATGGAAGCGCTCTCTTGGTGAGCGAGAGCCCAATGCACATTGCATGCTCATTAGTGTACGATTCTCATGATGACGCTACTGTCATACTCACCAACACTTAGGACTGTAAGGCACTCTTGTCTCATGGTCAATCTTTACACTTGAAGTTGACGAGCCATGTGGCCAGACGGACCAAGTCTATCGAACATGGTCAACCGGACTCTATAATCCAGATGAGTCACCCCCGTCATCCTTTCATCGCAAGGTCTGCAACTATAGTCCACCATGAAGCAACAATATGTGAAATAGCCAGCCTCTTACCAAATCATTGAAGCTGTTATCCCTAGCTTCATTGCATCAGCTCACTGTATGAGTCAGGCACACGTCATGATGCGAAAGTTATACTATAATTGGGGATATTTGCCACCGGTGCACGATGGACACTGTCAAAACGAAGATAGTCACCGATGGAAAGGGTGGGTCCATGGACAAAAGATCGTGCGTGAGGCTGCAAAGAGCTTGCTCGCTAGATATGAGTCAGGGCAAGATGGGAAGCGCGGCCGATTCCGGGGATCCGCCAGAAGGGGGCACGTGGCATGAATGGGGGGGAAATGGGATCCAGGCCCATTTGGGATCATGGCTAATTTGGCTGGAGCTGTCACCGGTCGGCAAACCAGTCAGATGAACGAGTCAGATCGGCTTCGCGAGCTTCTAGAGAACCTTCGATTTCTCCAGGTTAGGTTCGACAAACTAGACGGGAGGCAATGCCGGAGTGCTGCCAGAAAGCTCCGAAGAACCGGCAGCGGCCATGCCTCAGACACAAAAACTCTTAACCCAGTTGGGAAAGGCCTCCGTCTGGCCACCAGCCCTAACCAAGAACGCCGAGGGAAAGAAGGCGGAAAAGTGGAAAACCTTGAGAATGGGGAATCTGGAATCCGCCACCGCGACGCTGCATAAGGTTTAGTGGCTACGACTCCCCCTGCCGGCCGCCGGATTGCAACAGGAAGAAAGAGGGGGCGCAAGTAGTATTTCCGGGGCTGAGCTTAATTTGATCCTCATGCTTCCCCCAGGTCCGGTGCCGGACCAGCAAGCATTTGCGATATCTGGTGATTCCTCGTCCAATCAAGGTGTGAAAATCGCGCAGGATGTTCGTCGATCATCTTCAGATGGTCCCTGGACGTTTTTTTAGCTTAAATAGAGGCATTTTGTGCCTGAACGATGCATGGTGCGACCGGTGGAGCCGTGAGGGCGAGCAGGAGCCCGATGTCGGAGCAGGATTCTGCGGGCGGCAAAGTTTGTGTCACACCAGCAGAGATTGCATTAAGTCGGCCTCTGATTTGCCAGGGCGACCCTTCTATTAACTAAGAAAAACCTCCTCGTCATGCGTCAATGCTTTGCAGACTCTGGCCATATATGGTTGACGCCCGCATCGTGCGGGTGTGCCTGGGTTTAGTTCCGCTACTCCCTTTACCTGGTGCTGTTGCTGCTGTCGCTGAGACTTTGAGAGATTCGAGACGGGTGCTTGTTCAACACTTTATATCCCATCCATCTCACTCACCCTGCTCGAGGAGTCGGCCTGTCAACCAACCCATCCCTGAAGAGCAATCATGTCGACATTGGACGTGAAGGATATCGAGACTGGACCGGGTCGCCGGGTCGAAGAAGATGGAGGCATGTGGGAGAATGATATCGTGAAGACACCTTCCGTGGAGAAGGACCCCTTTGGAAATGAAGCTGTTGGAGAGGTTCACTATAAGACTCTCGACTGGTGGTACGTTTGGACCCCGTGAACTATATACTATCGCACCGTTTATATGAGACGGCATATTCTCTTGATGGCGAAGACTGACAAACTCTCTCGTTTATAGGCAATCTGGCATGCGTATGCTACTCCATCTTGATATGGTCTTTTCTAATCCATGTAACTAACCTTGATTCTTTGTCTGCAGTGATGATCGCCGAGACTGTGTCACTGGGTGTTTTGTCTCTTCCCGCCACCGTGGCTGAGGTTGGCTTGATCCCGTAAGTAGTATATGATTTCGCACCATCTACATCGTCACCCAGTCTGTGGTTAATCAGTTATGCAATCAGTGCCATCATCCTCATCGTCGGCATGGGCATCATCGCCACTTACTCTGGCTATGTCATTGGACAGTTTCGGGCCAGGTATCCCTTCATCCACAGCATGGCTGATGCCGGTGAAGTCTTGTGTGGCCGCTACGGTCGCATGTTCACAGAATTCGCTCAGCTGGTGTTCTTCATGTTCGCGTCTGGTAGTCACTTGGTGACCTTCACTGTCATGATGAACACACTTACCAATCACGGAACCTGCTCTGTCGTGTTTGGTGTCGTCGGCTTGGTGCTTTCCTTCGCCTGCTCTCTCCCTCGTACCATGAAGAACGTTTCATGGCTGGCTGTGACTTGTGAGTGCTTCATCCTGTCCATCCACAGCCTCCTATTGTGCTAACTCTGTAATCCAGCCTTCATCAGTATCTTCTCGGCCGTCTTGATCACCATGATTGGAGTCGCCGTTGAACACCCGCACCCTGCGCCCATGCAGCTCACCCGCTCGACTTCTTTCGTCAAGGGCTTCTCAGCTGTCACCAACATCGCTTTTGCCTACTGTTCGTCTTCCATCTTCCCGTTGTAATCGGTCGCATCTGAGTACTAACCCCTGGTCCAGGCGGTCACCCTGCCTTCTTTGGTTTCATCGCCGAGATGAAGGATCCCAAGGACTTCCCCAAGTCCCTCTGCATGTTGCAGGGTTTCGAAATCGTCTTCTACACGGTCGCATCCGCCGTCATCTATCGCTACGCTGGTCAGAACGTCACCTCCCCCGCCCTGGGCTCCGCCGGTATTGTCGTCCGCAAGGTCGCCTATGGCATTGCCATCCCCACCATCGTCATCGCGGGTGTCGTTCTGGGACACGTTGCCATCAAGAACGTCTACGTCCGCCTCTTCCGCGGTACGGATGTCATGCACAAGCGCAGTGCCCTGGGTGTCGGTGCCTGGATTGGACTCGCTGCGGGCTACTGGATCATTGCCTGGGTGATTGCCGAGGCCATCCCTGTCTTCAGCGATCTTGTCAGCTTGGTCAGCGCATTGTTTGCTAGTTGGTTTTCATGTGAGTATTCCATGCATTATCGATATGTCCTTGACCCCATGAGTTGGTCGCTAACGAATTTTCTAGTCGGTCTGCCCGGTGTCTTCTGGCTGTACATGTACTGGGGCAACTACTTCACCTCTGTCCGCAAAACGCTCCTTACCCTCGCCAACTTGGCCTTGTTCGGCATTGGCGCCACCATCTGTGTCTGTGGTCTCTGGGTCTCCGGACTCTCGATCTCCAGTGACAGCTCTGGCAGCAGCTTCTCCTGCGCCAATAATGCCTAATTCGGGTCATGAGCTACTGCCTCCTCGTGACTGGGTTGTAAATATGTATAGACTTGTATTATAGATAGACCTTTTTATTTAATATACCCCTTTGCGTTTGTTGTTCACCACTGGATTCGTACATGTATGCTCAAAATTGACATGTACAAGCTATTTCCTAGTACTGTTCCCAAATGTCACTTCACTAGTTCTATCTCCATCGATATCAACGTGATTTAGTAGGCCTCTTCTCTCCAGGCCGCGCTTTCTGTGATGCTGCCAATGCAAAGTCAGTTGCGACTGCTCGATTCAGCACATTATCCACAAAAGCTGTCCATATACTACGATCGGAAATTGCTACGTACTAGTAATTTGGGGTTATTTCGATTCGCAAGCCTGCGTAGTAATAACACCAATGTCAGGCAAGATATGAGGATGAACCCACTAGTACTTGTGGTATCCACTTGAACGTGTATTAAGTTGGATTTGAGTATATATAATCCTAACGGGCACCAATAGATGCCCGTTGCATAGTACCCCATACGCTCCAGAAAAGCAAACGAAGTCAACAGCCAGCAGGTAGTAGTAGTTTGTTAACCAGTGAAAAGCCAAACACTGACTAGACTGAACATCTTCATTAAAAAACATATTACTACTAGTAAACGCTCTACACGATGCAGGTGAGTCACCCACATAATTCCATCTCCGCTTTCACATGATGGAGGCACGATCATCCGAGGTGCCCGGTCTCCTAGGACCCTTGGGCCATCAAGGTATCTTTCTTAGTCTCTCAGCCGTTGTTGGATCGAGGATTTCTATTTGGGGATGATGCTACTTCAGGGTCCACTGGGGGACGCTACGTTACATCGCCTTCGCGCCATAATTGCCTTGAAGGTGGCGGATCGGGTATGCTGGTGCATAAAGTGTATCCGCTTAATCATGGGCATAACACAAGATAATCAGCTTAGTAATTATTTGAAAGTAGCCTATTCGGGAAAACCGCGTCGCTCAAAATAACGCGATGGCAATCATTCCATTGCCAGACAGGAATTAAGGTTTCGTGATATGCTGATGCGGAAGGAACGATCGATGCCTGGCTATATGATATACTGCTGTTCCATAAGATTGGATCTCGGTTCTTCGTTCGTCTCAGGCAATACCCCTTCCAGAAGCTCTCTCCCCTTGATGGAATGGTATATAGGTAGTAAGTAGTATGGGTACTATATGTAAATTCCCTGAAACAAGGATCAGCACTCCTTGAAGTCTGCAAAGAAGACACATCTGTAACCCAGGGAGGTTTGTAGACATCAATTTAAACATAGTGCCGCTGAAGGTTGATAAAGGAAAGGTCTAGCCTCAGCCGTCCAACCTGAACAGTGAATCAAGTGTTGGCTGGCTCCAGTCATTCACTCCTTCACATACCGATCGAACCATGCCACAGCCTGCTCAAATACTGATTCTTTGGCGAATCTCTGCCGCAGCTCTGCTGGATCACAGCGGACCGCAAATCCGTGCTCTACATCAGAGAATAAATTTATCTGAAAAGGAACACCAACTCCAGCTAGGATCCCCTCACTCTCGTGGCGGTTGGCAGTGGTGAAGACGGGATCAACAACTTGTCCATTGGTCAACATCAATAATGTAAGAAAGTACACAGTTCTGCTCAACTCACTGGCTGCAGCAATGCTCAACGGCCCTTCGACCCCCTCCAGCTCCTCCACCGTCACCATGGTTGGGTGGGCAACGAACCCTGCGTTTAGTTTGCCAGCTTTGAGGTAGCGACACACATATTTGCCGCCGAAACAATACCCGACAGCGCCGACTCGCTGACAGCCGAGGGTAGTGCGCATTTCCCCTAGTATAGCATTGACAATGGGATCAACCTTATCCGGCAGGTGTTGGTTGTACCAGCCCATGATATCAAAGTCAGGCCCATGGTCGACTGGGATGGGATCGCCGTGGAAGAGGTCGGGCATAACGACGAGGAAGCCACGGGCGGCAAACTGGTCCGCCATCAAATGGGCGTTGATAAAGCGATGGCCATTGCCATCAGTGAGAAACAAGATGGCATTCTTTGTCGACCGATCAGGTGGATAGGCGATGTACGTCGAGACTATCACACAGTCAGTGGTGGTAGTGACAACATTATCGGTAGTGAATACGCACTGTTGGCAAGTTCTTGGATCTCCCCACTGGCCCTGCCGTCGTGCAGATGTCCTGCCATGCAGCATTCAGATGGTGCATTGGAAGTCATTATTGCGATGGGCCACCAAAGCAAGGACCAACAACAGGTACTGAAATGGCCAGTAATTTATATGGGAGGGGAAAAGCATACTGACACAGGCAGCCAGCGGTTGGCGTAATCCTCTCAGCGTAGGTTCAGCCTGTTGTCGGACCCTTGCGGATATCTCCGATTTAATATTATTAGTTTTCTCGAACCGAGTTTGTAACACATTTAACCAGCTTTGGAGTTCGAACTGGGCCTCACTGTGTCAAATATGCATGGAGATGCAAAGCCACAATGCCACCTATAAATAGGTGCAACTCACCTGAGCCACCATGGAGGAGGCCACCTGCTAAAACACCACAGCCTGTCCCCGCGAGCATCTCGATAACTTTGGACCACGGTACGGTCCGCGGCGCCTTGTAGTGGGGACGGAATGTCCTTTCTTCGAGACGCCAATGACCCGACCAGCCACTTAGCGATGGGCCGGGTGGTAGACTTGCAGGGATCAACGGACTGGCTAAGCCACCGGTCGCATCCTCAGCTGGTGCACGTTGGGTGAGGTTTCAGGTAAGCGCTCATATCCTGGCCATTCATAGCTCCGCCAGGGAAGATTTTTGGATGGTGACTACGTACTCTCGAGCAGTCAGCGCGTGGTAGGCTGGCTATATGTGCAGCCTATCCCCCGAAGAACTGACAGGCAGTCCAGTTCAGTCCGGGCCATGCTCCCCATGTCAACAAATTCTACCTTTACCGCAGCCATAGTTGATGGCTGGATTGACGAGCCCGATGGGCGTGGCACCTGGTCCATTCTCTCGAGCTGTCTACTGACTATTGTACTATGTTGCTGGACGGCTGTCATGCCCAACATCCCTGCCCGCTCCGACCGATGGTATCATGGCCTACGCGACCGACTGCATTTGGCCTCTCTGGGACTTTTGGGTCCCGAATTTCTGCTTATGCTGGCGCTAGGGCAGTGGTCCTCGGCGCGAGAGTCTGTCAAGGTCTCGAGATCATTCTGTAATGTTCTGCCCAGAACAACATACATGGCTAATACCCTCTACAGGGATTTGAGCAACTATTGACAACAAAGACCACTAAGCGACCCCTTTGGACTTTAACTCATGCCTTCTATGCGGATATGGGGGGTTTTTTGATCGATGGCCCGGGAACCGATCGGCCATTCCCAGTAAATGCGAAGCAGCTTCAATTCCTCATCGAGAAGGGCTACGTCGATTACCCTATGATTGCTGAAGACGACATCAACGATCGGAACAAATCTGACGCGTTCTCTCGGTACGTCTCCAGCTTGCTCGAGAGCGTTTACCATCGGCTTATTCGGGTTTCCAGTGTGATCGCAGTTTGCCAGGCACTGTGGTTGCTCGTCAACTGCGCCATGCGTGTAGCTCAGGGACTGGCTCTGACGACCTTGGAGCTCACTACCATCTCATTTGTGGTGGTGTTCCTAGTGACGTCTTTCTGCTGGCGCTTCAAGCCATCGGACATCTCGAGTACCCTGACTCTACACGCAAATACCGATATCAACATCATTCGGGAACAGGTACGTTAGGCTCTACTCCAGCCAATGATGTGCGTTAACAGTATCTCGTTTCGGATTAGCATTGCCCTTATCCTTCGCAAGAATGGCACGAGACGCCCCTAGACTTTGTGTGTGACGATGTCTCCTTTTGCGCAGTGCACTGGCATTACTACACAGAAATCCTGCGAAAACTGCATATTCCGATGTTTTCACGTCCAATGACCGCAAAACCACGCGATCGCATTGTCAGTGACAACTTTCCCGTCACCGACCTGAAGGCCGATTGCATTGCCACCCCAGTGCTGCTTGTATTCGGCTCAATGTTCATGCTTGCCTGGAATTTCCACTTTCCTTCCCCCGTCGAACATCTCTTGTGGCGTATCGCCAGTATATACAACCTGATATTTACTGTCATCGGTGGACTGCATGCCGGTTATTGCGACAAGATTCTGCTGCCCAGGGAGTATAAGCGGCGAATGGTTCTGCCCTTGTCGAGACTGAAGACATCGACTAACCCATCCCGGCAGCGGTCGTGTCTGAGGAACTTAGCAGCCAAGTTGAGAAACATCGATCCGTATCGCAATCCTAAGAGGGAGGTGCCTCTTCGTGTGCTGTTTCCTACTTCTATTCTTTGTGCAGCCTATTGTGTGGGTCGAGCGTACGTTCTGACGGAGGACTTTATCGGACTGCGCAGTTTGCCTGCCAGTGCCTTTCAGACGGTTAGCTGGTCAGACTACGTCCCACATCTGTAAGCAGGGCGCGGTGCAGCGGATAACTCATTGCTCATATCACACATGTAATGACACACATAGAGACTCTATATACTATAAATGTTCAAATCGACAAGACCTCCCAAGCAATCCCATATCAGCCGTCACGGCCCAAATGGTAGGATAAACGCCAAATTCAACATTACTGTCATTACTTTCATCCATCGGTCAATACACCATCACACTTCCAGTCGGTGAACAAGGAGTCTCAGAACCCAGTTCGGGCAGCCCGATTCCTTTTCCACCTCGTCGACCCGATGCCGGATCTCACCCATCAGGCCTCGAAGTGCTTCTTGCGTGTATGCCATGCTTCCGCTCTCGTGGAGATGGTCCAATACGCGCTGCTTCTGCGCGATATCAAGTCCGCCTGATTGGCGGCCGTGGTGTAAAATATTTCGAATATCCGATGATTCAGGAAATGACTTATTGGCATGAATGAGAGGAAACGAGAACTTCCCCTCGTCTAGATCTTCGCAAAAGCCCTTCTGTCCGGTGTACTGCGCTTCCGTGTCAATCTAAATGTCTAGTTGTACTGTGTTGGTGAACTGACCTCTTCAGTAAGGTTCTTGTAATCATCTCGGATTTGGAAATATTCCCCCATAAGGTCGACAAGAGGTTCCAATGGGAGGCATCTATTGTGTCGGGAAAGATTAGTATAGTCTTTCATCAAAGCATCCGCGCTTCCTACCGGTTCTTCTTCGACGTGGCCTTTTGCATCATCAACCGAGATAATAGCCGGAAGAGACCACCAGTTTCTGAATACCAGTCAGTAACAAAATTGTGATAGGACCGTATGAGATGAGAAAGCCTAGATTTACTTTGACGTATCATCTCCCGGTATTCGTCCTCCGACGGACACTCGCCCTGCCGTGTCCAGTACAGATCGAAACTCTGACCAATGAACAGATTACGCATCTCTTCGACGAAGATGTCCACACAACGTGAGTCCTCCAATAGCCTCACTTGATCCATAGCCTGGATCAGGACAAAGTTAGCGGAGTTGATGGTTAGTGCCTGTCCAAAGACGGTGTGTGTCGCGGGCTGGCCCCGACGCAGAGGCGATTCGTCTTCAATGTCATCCAGCCTACGCAGGAGGATAAATCGTTAGCAGAGTGGCGTTTGGGGTACACCTTTTAATGCAATCACTCACATCAGAGAGGCATTATGTAAAGTCTTTGAAATGGTCTTTATGACGCTTACGAAGCGATCCGGGAGAGCAAGCCACACGTTCAGCGCGTCGATAAAGGCCTCGCGAACACCTTTGGAGGGGAGAGAGGCGATATACTCTGCTGGACCAATGAGGTGCTGTATAGATCATTAGCAAAATTCGATCAATGAGACGTTACATTGGGCAACGCTCATACCTCTGTTCCGAGTATAACCCGGTCCGTCTCCTTTCCCCTGTCGTCAACAGAAGGAGCCGATGAAACTGATGATCGCGCAGAACGATCACTTGCCCCAGTCCAGAGGGAGGACATAGACGAGATACTATCTCCTGAGACACTCCGTCTTTTACCTATGTTAGGCAAGTCGCGAGCCTCTTCCATCGATGCTTGCAATAAGGCACTGCCTTCCTCACATAGCCAGGGGTGGTACCGAGGACATCGTAGACTCCAAGCGACGTTCCCTGGAATTTGGCATCCCAAAGCAGTGAGATACAATTGCACCTTAGTATTGGACTTTCCTTTGCCAGCTATAAATTCTTGTACTCGTTGCTGGTACCCTCTTTCGTAGTCATTTGTGACTTGCCGCACAAGTCGTTTGGCTTCCTCTTCATCCACCTGGTGCCATTGCATGAATAACCAGACGGCATTCGTCATGGTGGTCTGAATTGAATCTGGCTTTCGAAACTCTTCCCACTCGACATCGAAGGAGAAGTAGTCATTGGCGAGCCCGAGGGCAGCATAGCACGGCTTGACAATAGGAGCGACAAGCTCCTCTTCTTCGGGCGTGAGCAGAAGGCCCATTCCAAAACGCATTAATGTGTCCACAAACCTGTAATGTGGGTTAGAGCAGCGTGAGTTTAAATCAATAGGGACTCCTTACGGTGCACCCGTGTCAACAATCCGGTAGTCCACGTATTCCTCCAGGTTCTTGAATGCGCGGGTCTTGTCCTGCTTTACCGTTGTGTCGATCATCGTCTTCCAGGAGTCAATAACAACCTCAGCGCATGCAGGGTCGATTGACAGGAGGTCGAGTAGCATCTTAGACTGGATCTGTTTGGTTCCAGTGACAGATCGCACGGTTCGGTACTCTGTCTCATCGAGAGCAATATCGTCCGTGTTATTGTTCAACTGGAGTTGGTTAGGCTTGGGCAACTCCCTGAGTCAACTTCACTATAGGGCATACTGTGGATTTGGCGGCTGATTCAACAACGTTATCGTACATAAATGCATCTATTATGTGTGAGCTTAGGCGAAACAGCTATGGCTCAGCGTGTCCTTGAAATCTCACATTCGAAACAGTAGCTAATGATGGCGATGCGATCGGGCCGACAAAAGGGCAAGACGACGGCGGAGAAGTGACCCTCCCACGGATTACAGCATCCCCAGCGCTCTATAGGCCCAATATATTGCTCCCAATCGTCTCGGCATTGCTGGGATCCTGTGTTGGCCCAGTCCTCAAACTTATGACGTCGCAGGGGATAATCTCTGCAAAATCCTTGGAGATCCCGTGAGGCACGAGGAACCCGATCGGAGGTATCATCGGGGAATAGATGTGGAAGCGCCATCACGGTATGAAGCGAATAAATCTCCGAACACTAAACACTCGAGTCGTTTTGCAGATAACGTAGGGAAAGCGAGGGGCCAGGTTAAGACAGTTCTACAAGACTGGCATGGTCGTATTATATCATGGACGGACAAGCCCATTTTCCGGAACGAGAACTGGCAGCTCCGTAATGAGACATTTCAGCGTAATTGCTTAGTTTCATACCGCCAACAAGGAGATCTCTCTCTATGAGAACAGGCGTTCATCTGAGCGGGACGCACAATCTGATCTGAAGGGGGATGGAGAGATACCACTGAGAGGATCATTGTAGGCATGGGCCAATCAACCCCTTGCGGGCAGTGGAAATCCGTGAACCAGCAACCAGAGTTGCGTCGCGATGAGGTGTGCCAGGATTGGAGAATCCACTGCACTCCACTTGGATCCTTCATCCTTCGAGTCTAATTGGGGCAAAGATGAAGATCGTTGAAAGTGCACTTAATTTTATGAGTTACGTTGATTGGTTGACCCGGGCTCGGCTCATTCAAGGAATAGGCTCAAAAGTGTAAGTCATTGATTTCATACATTTAGTTGCAGCTGATTTCGGGACCTTTGCACTGCACGAGCCAATGGTATTGTGGCTGTTGGTGAGGGAAACCTGGCACCGGAAGATCGGCAAGTGAGCCATCATTATGGATTTAAACTTTATCTCTCACGACGCTAACATCCTTGATGTTCCCGAGGGAAGGGTAAGACGGCGGGTAGCGAAACCCGAAAACGACAACTGGCTTTGACAATGTACTTTGCGGTTCATAGTAAGCTGGAAAACGACATCTCATATGTCAGACCACTGAAATTCCAAGAAAATACTGGGGGCGTGCCAGTAATCACGCATCATCCTGCACCATGCCGCTAAGGCCGTGACTCCTTCAGCCGCGCCCCCAGCCACTCAGCTCAGGAACATTGACGTGACACTGCAGTCACACAAGACTGAGGCGGTACCATTATCCTGCAATAACATTGATCTGATCACTTCTCTGACCTCCTCGCATTCTATTGTCCTCATTCGTGGAGCCCAATCTTTTCGTACCTCAAAATGGGAGAGTTAGCCCCAGACCAGTCGACCGCGCTTGAGATTTTCAAGGGTTGCTGTTCTGCAGAAGGCCTATTGGGGCATCGGGAGGGGTTACAGGCTGGGGATGTGGAAGATGGGATCACCGACAACACTACCCTTTTGTGAGCAAATCATTCCTTTCCATTGAGACCGTACTGACTGACATATATAGACGATTTTTGGAGGCCCGTCGCAGGGACCCGGAGGACGCCCTAAAACAATTGCAAGAGGCGGCTAAGTTTCAGGCTGATAGACAGGTTCTCCGTCTGTATGATCTGATCTCTGTGAAGGATTATGAGGAGACACGAAAGCTAGTATGCTGAGAATTCCCACGAGTCGCATGCAAACCATCTCACACAATGACTAGTATCCTCACTGGACGGGACGACGGGACCGCCGAGGGCAACCTATACTGGCGCTCGATGTCGCTCATTTGAACGCATCGACTATGGCAGCCTGGAGGAAGACGCGTGAGATTCCAAGGCAAACAGACATGATTTTACCAAGTCCAATCATTCCGGATATGGAACAACGTGCAGCAATACATTTTGATGGCTTTACTCGATTCGTGCTACCGCTTTGTACAGCCATGAGCGACCGTCCTGATCCGACCGTCCCCGTCACCAAAGCCATCTACATCGTCGATGCCTCTGCCATCTCTCTGAAGCAGGCCTGGGATTTGCGGGATTTCGCACGCGATATTAGCTGGATCCTATCGACCTGCTATCCAGAGACCATTGATCGGATCATTGTAAGAAATACCTACATCGTGACTGGTATCGTTGTTGACTCTTTCTTAGGTGGGCAATGCGCCCTTTTATTTCGCCAAGATTTGGGCTTTCATGAAGAACTTTGTCGACCCCATGACGGCGGACAAGCTGGAGATCACCAGGCCCGCGGATGCATACGCGACCATGGCACAATACATGGGACACGAGGATATTCCAAGCCAATTCGGAGGAGGTTTCCAGTTCACGAATGGGATGCTGCCGGATTTGGATGAGGGCATACGGCAGGCTCTACAATGGCCCATCTCCAGTAAGGAGGCATTCCCGCAAGGGCCACTCAAGTGGACCGAAGACGAGAATGGCCAGCGACGGGCCGTGGCAACAGGAAGCATTGATAGTCGGCAGCGATGCGAGGAGGTTGCAATCCTTCCAGTAAAATCGACAACACATTCCCAGCTACCGAATTGACTACAAAGCATGATTCGGTGTCCATGAGATAGAACATGGTATTGTTGTTTAGGAATTTCTCTAAAGACAGTAGTGACGGCAAACGCCTAGGACATAGCCAGCTATGCCACTTTACTTTCTATCTATTCTCTAGTGGGCAATAACCAATCCGCCAGGGTATATCCTGCATGAGTAAACTAGGACTCCCTTTTATACATCCATTTGAATAGTTGGCAGGCCGTGATCGTCAACCATAAACACACCTGAAAGATGGTCATCCCCGTCCCAACCCACTCGATCGCCGGTGAAGCCAAATACTCCCCCAAGTCGATTGTCGCCAGAACGAACCCGGTGATGGGAAAAACCATGCACCACCAGATAAGCTCGAAGCGAATGGTGCGGTGCCGGAGAGCCTCCAGCATGCTTAGCGCCGCCATGCAGAAGAGAAAGAAGGCCAAGATCCATAAGAATACCGACGCGGCCACAGCAACAATGAGCAGGACATCCGCGGTGCGCACACTTGTTGCGGCACTGATATATTGGGTTGGGAGTTTTTCCACCGCAGCGTCCGCCATGCTGATCATGGCGATGATTGTGAAACTGGGCGGGCCCACTGCGATGAACATCTCCGGTCGGAAATTTGGCACTGGGAGACCCTCGCTGGACATCTCCGTCAGGCTCTGCACCAGAACGACCAGGAACATGAGGAATCCAAATCCTTGCATGGTGGTGCCGCCTACAAGCATGGGCACCGCCTGAGCGGGGCCCTGGTTCGGGGCCAACACACCGGCCATGGTGCCACTGAGCATGGGTGGGAAGTAGGGTAGGATGTTCACAATGGCAAAGTGGTCACCATGCTTTGTGCCGGTATACGGTATCCACCAGCCCAGGACAATGGAGAGCAATAGCGAGACGCCAGTGTAGACCCAGAAGAAGACGTTCAGGGTGAGGATTAACCAGCGGCCACAATGCGGGGTGCCATAGTAGGAGGTGCAGAAGATGATGGTCGCAAAGGCGAGCAGCGAAACCGGGACAAAGTACAGGTCCTGGGGCTTCTTGATATGCAGCCACCGGGCGGCGAAACTGGGTGACTCCTCCAAGGGCTTGGGGCTCTTCTGTGGTCGGACAGCCTCGAAGAGGAGGCAGAGGGTAACTGTGGTGTAGATGACGAGGTTGGCGATGAAGACGATGGTTCCGATGGTCGTGAGGCCTGTGAACTGGTTTGGGGTCTGGTGCAGCAGTACCGCTATCCCACCCCAGCTGAGTGAGATGGCATACCAGCCCCAGGTTACCGATGAGGTAACCCTGCGAATGGGAGACATTGTATAGCCTCCTTCTACATCCTGATTCATATCGATGGCGATGGCGATGGTGATGGTTGGCAAGAGGACGGAGGAGTCGGACTAACAATCATGGCGAGATGGTAGGGTTCTCCACGGGCTAAATAACCGTTGTCTCCAGACCGCGTGTCAGAATACCCTGTTGTTTTGTATTTATCATCTGTTGCCTTTCCTGGACATCACCGAGCATCATATTCAGGTCTCTCATGGTCTCGGAGGCATTGGTTGGTGACGTCATTTTCAACTCGCAGTGGAGTCGCTCTCAACCAGGCACGTTGGCACAGATGATGAAAGAACAACTAATGCCAGATAACAATCAATATCTGGTCAACAAGACCTTATCAATCCGCCCGTATCTTGGTCGATTGCCGAAGTGGTCCGATACTTGGCTCGGGATACCGATCGGGTGGCCCCAGGGACAATACATATACTGTAGACTACTACTACGTAATGGAACAAACAGGAGAACAGAAGTTGCCAACTAGGATGCATGCACAAAGTACTACTGGTACCCTAACAACTGTAATAACACCAAAGATCGAATGAATGCAACCATGCATGTTATTTTAAAACAAATTCATCAATGCTTATGTACAACGTTTATCGATCATTGCGGTCACTTTCACAGTATCCTGTAACTACACACACCATGGTTCATCCCACACGCAAATTGCAAAGCTGTCTCAGCCAATATAATGAATCAATCAGCAATGAAAAACTCCATATGTATTTACGCGATCGCTATTTAACGCACAGTCTTCTCTCCCCGGTCTCGGCGAGACAGATGCAACCGCTTCCCCCACTTCATCCGACTCTTGCGCATCGCCCGCTGTGTCCGTTCCCAGGGGTAGTTTACCGGCGACTCACCACCCGTGAAGATCATGAAATCGTACAGGAACGCACCGAGGAAGGAGCCCGCAAGTGATCCGGCCCACGGCCCATAGAACCAGTACGGATTGGTGAACAGCGACGAGCCGTACCCGAGCGCCAGCAAGGCCAGTCGCGGCCCAAAGTCTCGACTCGGATTCAAGGCGGCACCCGTCTGGTAGGCAAAGCTCATCGTGTTGCAGGTCACCATGAGACCCACGATGAGTGAGTTCATACCCGCTCCTGGGGGTGCGTTCTGATCGTCACCCAGCGCCAATACCACCACCGTCAGCACCATCGTGCCCAAGAATTCGGTGAAGAAGGCAGTGCCAGGACCGATCCAGGTCTCGCGCTGACTGGTCACGAAGCTGGTGATGATGCCCGTGGTGGAGTTCGTCAAGAGATAATGTTGGATGGAATGATAGTAGAGACCGTACGCGGCGAGCGCGGCGATGAAGGCCCCCAAAAACTGTGCAGCAAAGTACTCGGGCATCTTGCTCTTGGGGAATCCACGATAGAACCAGAGCATGATGGTGATGGTTGGGTTGAGGTGGGCACCGGACACACCACCAGAGACGTAGATGGCCATCATGGTAGCAAACCCCCAGACCCAGTCGGTGGTGTTGGGATTACCGGCGTCGGCCACGGTCACTGCTAGATCGCCGCAAAAGCCGACGAACAGCTGCACGAAGACCCCCAGAGACTCGGCCAGGGCTTCGCGGTGATGGGTGCGGATGACGGACCAGGTGGTGTGGTTGTTGTGCACCTCCTCCTCCACTAGCTCCTGCACCAGCGGATGCAGATCTTCCGGATAGGCGGCCTCGATCTCCTCCAGGTCGGGCAGGTCGTCCATCATCATCCCGTCCTTGCCATCGTCAGCGCGCAGCTCGGGCTCCTCCGGCACGGGCTCCAAGGGCTCCTCACTACTCATCTGAGGGGGTTCCTCATGGGTCTCACTGGGAGCCGGCGTTTCGCCTTCGGGCACCGTTGACAGGTTCTCCGGCGGGAGATCCCAGGCAGATGGACGGCGGATGCGCGATGACGAAGTGCGCGAGAGGCGCGAGCCTTGTCGCGTTGTGGTGGCATCCCCACTCAGAATCTTGTTCATGAAATTGTTCTCGCGTTGGATCCGGGCATCTTCCACCTGGGCCGCCATTTTACGAGGGTCAGCCGACTTCTCGATTTGGCCTTGCTCCAGGTCATTGGGATCGACCTCCAGCCCTAGCTTCTGTGAGTTTTCGGCTGGCAGCTGGATGTTTTGACGGGCTTCCAACAGCTCCTCCTTCGTCGGCACCATGCCCGGTCGGACGACACGAGGAAGTGGCTTCGCCAAACCCCAGACTGGTTTGGAGTTGGCGGGTTGTTCATAGGACGGATTGAGATCGCCGTAGCCGGGTTGCACAAACGGTTCATGGGCCAAGCGCAGCTGAGGCGTCTCATCGGGACCAGCCATGGTGAAGCGACCTTGGGTTCGTTCAGCCAGCGTGGTGCGTGGCGCCAAACTGGGAATGCCACTGCCACCACTGCGGCGGGAAGCGGCGGAACTGCGTCGACGAACTCCAGCCCCGGAGCCATCACGACCGGACACACGGCGGGTGGGAGAAACAAAGTCGGCGTCACCAGCAGTTCCTCGACGGCCGCGGGTGGGTGATAAAGGTGAGGTGGGAGGATTCTCTCCTCGAGGGGAGATCGCATCGGACTGCTCAGGCGAGGAGAACACCCTCCGATCAGCTCCTGATGCAGCTGCAGGGGAATGCGTGTGAACATACCGTTGCCCGTGGGCGCCTGGGCTCCCCGTCGTCCATGATGTGACGGTATTAGATGCTATATGCTTGCTTGGAGGATGATAAAATTGCTACTGCTGACGGGATGCGGATGGCCGACTCAATTGGAAGCAATGGCTACGAGAGATACCCAGATCCCCAGCCGGTGTTCCGGATGTTTAAGAACCACCTAGTGAGCAACAGGGGTAGGGTACAATAAAAGAATAGGAGAACAATGACTGCCGTGAAGGAGCAGCATGGACCATGACGACGACATGCTGGCGCCCTCTCCGCTTCTCCGACTGGATCAGAGACTGCAGCGACGGCGTAAGCGAGCGCATCCGCACCAGTCATAGAGCAAGATTGATGCGCCAGATCTACAAAGTACAGGCCAGTGGGTTGCGACGGTGCGGGCAGACTATTGGGGAGCGTTGAAGACATGGAAAGACTGGCGTCATGAGTGGATCCTTCTGGGGCTTGTCGGAAAGCTTGAGAGGCAAAAGAATCGACACACAACAGGGTTTGGTTCCTGGCCTGATCCCCCAAATGCTTCGCTGGTTGGCCCTGGTCGGCAGAGATAACCCACTGCAAACCCCCGCTCAATGACGGTCCTCTGTGGTCATCGTCACCGATCAACCTGGGTTATTGGGCCATGGATGGCCATTTCCCCTCCCCATCGATCGATCGGGGGGCTGTCGTGGGAAGGACCAAAAAGATGTCAAAGATTTCCACTTCAGCCGGTCATCGGGGGTAAATACCGGTGACTGTGTCCAGTGAATATTCGTTACAGTGAGAATGTACTTCAATGGGGGATGAATATTTTATAAAGTTGTGTGATATGGTTCGTGGTGGATGGAACGTGCACGGAATCAACCACGAGGGAACCAGCCGGCACGAGTCCGTTCCTTGATTCTGGCTTGTTGGTTCTCTGGACAGACACACTGAATAATCCAATTCAGTTCAATCCCATTTTGCCTTCCGAGGATTCTCCGATGCTCGGTAGATTCCCGGTCAGAATACTACACAGAAAAGACTTATCGCGAAGAGAAAAGCCGCATGGAGGAGGATAATGGATCTATCAGTCTTTGCTGGATTTTTTCCACCTTGAAATACCTAGTCAGCATCTATGCTGATAGTAATGGGTCCCTTTGATCAGGATTTTCAGACTTTCGTTGGGGGCTAGGGAAATGTCTTGGCGAGGAGTCTATCCGAGACTCCCGCAAAGAGTTTGCAACGGGAATGAAGGGCAACTCCAGTTGGAAAGGAGACACGTCTTTATTGTATATAATGTCTTCCCGGCATTCTCTAGATCAAAGTAGGCGCATGAAGATGTCAAGACAAGCGTCATGTTGATGCGGTTGTAGTCTGCCAACTTGTTATAGAGAGGAGATTCTGCCCGGCTCAACACGAAATGGCCCCTGGAAGGATCACTCAGAGCCCAACGGGTCCTCCATAAGTGCCCTTTCGCAAAAGTACATCCTCCTATCTCAGCTCTTATAACTGACTTCATTCTTATTGACGTTCCCGGGTGCTCCACCGTCGCAAACTCTGAGCCAAAAATATTTGGCTGGCTACCTTTCACTCACTGTGAGAGGTTGGAACCGTGCTTGACAGGCAGCCATGTCTGCCTGCCACTGGACATCTACCTAGCACTCGTCAGGTACCCGGAGATGAAGGAGTTTCCACTCCGACAGGAGACGAAAGACGAACAGTGGGGCGTGTCTCAGTCGAGCAGCGTCCGCCTTCCATATTAGGCCTGGAATAGCCTCGTCTTCACCTCTTTCGGGAATGGGCGATGGCCCTGTCGACACTATCGCTGTCCGGCTCCTCCGTGGCGCAAGGGTCCAAACTCCAAAGCTATTAGATTGGTTCGCCAGGCATCACCTCTAGGATATAAAACTCGGAATCTCCGGTTTCAGAGGGTGGGAAAGGTCAACTTCACACCAACCACGAGTTGTGCTATTTGCTATCTTGCCATGGCTGCCCTCTCCCGCCTCAATGGACAGATCTCCACCTTTCTCGCTGTTGGCTTTCTAGCCTCGTGGGCCTTCACTTCGTTGAGTTTGACCACCATCAATGTCCTCAATACCGAATCGACATTCACCGCGCAGGCCGCCTCCATCAGCTTGCTCACCTTCCTCGTCTGCCGATTGCTGGTCCGCCTTCAGCCTGTCGCCCCCACCGAGGAAAGAACCATCGCGCATCTCCTTGCAACAGCAGACAATGGTTCTCGACGGGGCGCGCTCATTTTCATCTCTTTCTGCAGAACATGGCTGTACGAGCTGCTGACCAAAGGACTCCTCCTGCTTCTGCTGACCTTCTTTGGCGGCGTCATGGCGACCGTGATTTACAACGACCCCAACTTCTCGGAAAACTGGCAGACTGAGCCGGTATCCGATCAGCCCCAGACGACGACGGCCCTGGCTGAGATTAATGACTTCAAGGAAAAGGCTGGCTTTGATCCGACACAACTATTTCGTTGGATCCCACCTCAGGCAGTCGTCTACTTTATCGCCCTAGTGTGGTTTAACTTCATCAGTCTGGGGCTGTACATTCTCGGCCATGCGCTGAAGGCGTTTTGTAGGATCTTGGGATTTACTGTTACGCGAACCACCAGTAAAGACGCCCACACGGTGAAAGGGCGCTCCTGAGAATGCTTGGATGGAATGCCAGATTAGGGGAGACTCCGTGCATAACAGACTCGTCCCGAATGTCAAGAATGGTTTCCTCGACCACATTTTACTACTTGCAATGCAACTCCGTTGTGATCCCAGCGATATCTAATATCGGACGTCCTTTACATATCCGCAAAATATATCCACCGCGAGAGATTAATCGAATTGAGCTCACCATTGCTGCTAGCAGTGCTCCCCTTCTGTTTCAAGCTTGGGGGGAAAACAGTGCTAGTTACACTTCCAAACCCAGAATGTCGCCTAAGAACCAATTACCTCAGCATCCGGGGGGTCTCCAAGTGTTGGAATGTTCGTTGCTTCCCGCCAGAACCCCCAAACGCGTTGAATAACGAGGTCCTGTTGCCTTTCTGTAAGTTCCGCGTAGAGTGGTAACAAGACAATTTCCGCTGCGGCGCGTGTGGTCACCCGATCTTCGCCATGAAAGCGCCCGACCTGTTTGCCGAACGGAGAAGAGTGTAATGGCACGAATTGAGCCTGTGTCTGAATCTTTCCGGCCGCCATATGCTCGATGAAGGCAGGTCTGTCCGAGGCATTAGCCAACCGAAGCCAGAAGACGGCTGCGTTATGGTCCGCCTCCGCAGCCGGCTGGGGTAGGCGGATGATGCCTGCGTGGGCCAGAGGGGCCAGGCGTTTGTGATAGCGAGACCAGAGACGTCGGCGGCGTGAAATGATCTCTGGTGCGGCTTGAAACTGGGCGTAGAGAAAGGCTGCTTGGATTTCACTCAGGGTTGCATTAATCCCAACATCCAGCCAACGATAGACATCCACTTCACCGCGCAGAAATTGAGCTCGGTTCGTGCCGTGTTCATATAGGATCTCAGCCCGCGCCACGAGTGCGTCCTGATTGACGAGTAATGCCCCTCCCTGTCCGCCACTGGTGAATATTTTCTTCTCTTGGAAACTGATGCATCCTAGGTGTCCCATGGTTCCCAACGCACGTCCTCGATACATGCTGCCGCAGGCCATGGCGGCATCCTCAATCACAAGCAGGTCATGCCGATTGGCAATATCCAGTATGGTGTCCATGTCGCAGGCGATTCCAGCATAGTGCACCGGCACAATGGCCTTGGTCCGGGGCGTGATGACATTCTCGATCTTCTGCGCATCGATGTTCATGGTCGTCTCTTCCACATCGACAAAGACCGGTAGCGCCCCATGGACAACAAACGCATTGACTGTCGACACGTACGTATAGCTCGGTACAATCACTTCATCCCCTGGCCGAAAATCGGCTAGGAAGGCCGCAATTTCCAAGGCTGAAGTGCACGAGCTCAAGACAAAGGCCTTGCCATGTGGCATGCTTGATTCAAGCCATCGCTGGCACAATGCCGTGTATTTCCCTTTTCCCGTCAAAATTCGGTTGTCGAGTACCTCTTGGATGGCCTCCAGTTCCTGGCCGGTGACGGTTGGCTGGAAAGTGGGTATGCTTGCCCCCGGCATGGCAACTTTCAAACACTTGGAAAGTGACTCTTGCTAAGGAATATGGTACATTTTTGATCCGAGTCACGCTATTTTCTAAGAAATTAAAGGAAGGTGATTAGCTATCTGGGATCCTTTTACAACATATATGATTAGTCACACCCCCCTTGCGCCTTCCTCTACATCTTGACTGCTTGATGGCTGTCATGTGCGCAATCAACGGACGCTCGGACGTCGGTTGCCGAAAGATGTTGGTTTTCCTGAAGTCGTGGGTCGTGAAGGACACTGTCAGACGCATTTTAAATTCCTGGTCATCCCTTGCTGATATCATCCATCCTTGTGCTATTATGACATGTAACACAAACCCCTCCCTTATGGCTGTCGTGACAGGATAGTGTGTCAGCTTGTCCAACGCTTGTCACACCATGGAGTGTTTGCGCAAGTGCTTCTCAATCTGAATGTGGGTGGGTGCACAGGTGAGGGGTCTCAAACTTGAGATAGACTTGGCCCGCTATAGGTGCTAAATGGATATGTTCTCTTCTTTGTGCAAGAATAGCTATCAATTTTATGCCCAGCTCTGGGCTATGGGGTTGAGTGAGGTCGGCCATCTACCTATTCAACGACATGAGTTCCCATTCTGTGCCCGTGCCATTCGGCCTCCGTTGGGGCATTATCGGTAAGTGTCTTGCTTACATTACCTTGTCCGCGGATACGTTTATCAGACTGTTGACTTCTAATAGCTACAGGAAGCATTGCTGAGAGTATTACACTTGACAAGTAGTGCTGTGATTCTCACCGGCTAATCCGCTATGTAGCATTTGCGAAAGACCTTCTCATTCACCCCGCCTCACGAGGTGTTACTGATGTGTCGCATTTATTGGTGGCGGTGGCATCTTCGCGATCCACCGAGATCGCCAGCCGCTTCATCAACAAGGTCGGAGCGCCGTCGTCCTGCATTGCGTATGGTAGCTACGACGCTCTGGTGGCGGACCCCCGCGTAGATGTCGTCTACGTCGCCTCACCACATTCCCATCACTACCAGAATGCTATGCTCGGGCTGCAGGCCGGAAAGCATGTGCTCTGCGAGAAGCCCTTTACTGTGACGGCTAGACAGGCACATCGACTCGTCGAGACCGCTCGCGCGCGTGAACTTTTCCTCATGGAAGCCATGTGGACACGCTTCCTGCCAATCTCGGCTCAGATTCGGCAAGAAGTCCAGAATGGCGCCATTGGGCCCGTTATTCGGATCTTTGCTGATAACTCGATCGGAACGAACGCCTTGAAGGAGTTGAAGGACAGCTATCTTACCAAGAAGGAGTTGGCTGGGGGCGCGTTACTAGATTGTACGTGATGCCTAGCTTCTCTGCGCGGAGCGACACTAACGATGGCTGGACTTTAGTGGGCGTATATCCAGTCCACTGGATCATGCAGACCCTCGCTCCCAGGCCTGATCCCAAGCCCAGCAGCATCCTATCAGCAATAACACCCCTTCTTGGCGCCGGGGTGGATGAATCGACAACCATTCTTATGACCTTCCCTGGCACAAGTCCGTCGCCTGTATCCGTGCAGGCGATTGCCAGTTCCAGCCTACGCGCCATGGCGGACCCGGATGGTCACACCCCGGTAGTACGAATCCAGGGAGACAGCGGGGAAATTCAGATCTATGGCCGGCCTTGGTGTCCGTCCAAGTACCGGATCATCAAACGAGTGCAGCAGTTTGGTATTACAGGTGGAGAGGAAGAGTTCGAGTATCAAGTTCCAGGGGGCGCACATGGGCTTTGCTTCGAAGCGGACGAGGTCGCCCGTTGTGTTCGAGATGAACGCCTGGAAAGTGCAACCATGCCGTGGACGGAAAGCCTGACTGTCATCGAGATACTGGATGCAGTACGTAGAGCTCATGGGCTTTTCTTTTCAGAGATCGTCGAGTCGGAGGAGTATCCAGTAAATATGCCCGCCAAGATGAACTAAGCATGTGATCGGGCTTCCTATGAATATAATGCAAGATGCCTTTTCTAGGTAGTTTCATACATATCACCCCGTTGCCTGAGTGATCTGAGGATTGGAGCGCGCTGTAGCACTCGACCTTTTCATGGGAGTGAATGCAATGGCGAGAATCATCATCAAAGAACTGAAGGTTCCTAGTGAGATGGCCATGGTAGCCCAACTCAGAGCCTCCCGAATGTATCCGGCATACAGAGGCCCAACCAGTGTCCCAGCAGCAAATGCGGCGTTACTTAGACCGTAAGCTTGCGAAGACGCCCCTCCATCCCCGAAGATCCCTGGACGTCCCTTCTCCATGTCGTCCTTGGCTAAGGTAATTTCTGTCATCATTGCAGGCATGGCAAGTGATACCCCACAACCGAAAAGGAATAAAAACAGGCGGAGCAGCACTGACATTACTTCCGTCGGTTCAAGTATCAGCGAGAGCAGCATAAGGCTCGGAGTAATCAATGCAAAGCCCAAAATCGCCGGCCAGAACGGACCCAAGCGATCCACCACAAATCCGCCAAGCGGAGAGCAGATCATAGGAAGGGTATTGGACAGAAATACAATGGCGATGTCTGTCGACCGGTAGGGAAAAACCTCGGGGAGATACACGGGCAGTACGGCCTCCAAGGCAGTCATGAACGAGTTTAGCATGAACATCCCCACCATTGCCACGAGAAACCTAGGCATGCATATCAAGTATAACAGTGCAGGCTTCCTTGGAGAGCCTGTAATAGGAGTACCTGCCACGTCTGACATCAGCGGACGCCCCTCCTCGTCGGAGAGGTCTTGCTTGACATCAATCTCATGCGACGGCGTGATGAGAAGCACCCGTAGCACAAACTCCAGTACTACAAGCACGAAGGCTGGGACAAAGACGGCGAAGTATCCCGCTAGATCATATAAAAGCCCACCCACGATGGGCCCTGCGAATAAGCCAACGCTGAGACTCATGCTCGTAAAGCCGATGGCACGTCCTATGTATTGCTCACCAACTGTGTCCAGCATCAGACTAAAGCCGATGGTAAATACTATGGCAGTGGAGCAGCCCTGTAGGATTCGAGCGAGAAGGATCAGAGTCAATGAGCTGGTAAGCGAAAAGAGCAGTGTAGCACCCCCCATAACCCCGACCCCGAGCAAAAATGGCAGCTGCTTCGTACGAGTTCGGTCGCCCATCCAACCGAATAGCACTGTGACCATAAATCAATAAGTATGTGCATGCAGTGAGGTTCTACTGACAATGGATGCACGTACATGATCCCAGCATGATGGATGCCCCGTAGCTGGCAAGTAAGATGGAATTCCAACGCTGAATATCGGCATCAGTGAGACCTACACGCTCTGCGAGGGCAAATGGAAGCATAGGCACGACTAGTCCATAGAGGAAGATATCAGTAAAAACTGCCACGCAGACCACAATGACTGCAAACGTGGTTGATGACCGGATCTGCTTCACCAACATGTTGCGGAGGGACAGAGCGGGAATGCAAGGCAGTGCAACACGGTCGCATATGCTGCATTTGAGGCGCAGGATGCAGTCTATGTCCACCGAGAGATAGAATATTTAAGCCACTCGAGCCTAGGCTCTTGTAAGCCCGGACACCTTATCAATCCCGGAAATTCCAGCAGGATGGAAGGTACGACCCCATGGTTGTGCGACTTCTTCAATAATTGGAAATTAGATCAATGTCATACAATGGCTCGCGCCGAAGATACCGCGGAGTCTTCACTTTAGTTGCAAACTTATCACAATATGTGATTATAGTGTTGTTCGTAAAATCTGACATCTCTTGTGTCTCCAGGCTGTGTCTTGGCATTGACTAGAGGACAGAACAAAAGCAAGAAGTCGGTTAGTCCTCTCAAACCCTTAACTTAGACTACCGTGTGTCACACTAATGCGAGATTTCCGGGTCTGTACTTGTGGCTCATTCCGTATATCGAGGACATTGAGACTTGCAGTTCTAGTGGCAATGGATGATTTTTGTTCAATCACTTCCAACAGGACACTCCGCCCGCACTCCCTGCCTATGTCGTGGCACAAGTAGTCATTCTATTTGGCAGCTAAAGAGATTTGGTTCATTTTGTGTGGAAACACATATTCGGGTCCGAAAAGTTACACCACATCAATGACGATTCTTGTAGTCAGGATATACCCTCGATTGTTGGTAGTCATCCAGCCGTGCTCTGCAGGGATATGTTTTCAGTTTCTTGAATATGAAGACCCGTTCTAACGCACAGCGAACCCAGCAATAACTGTCAGCATCTCAATCTGCTCTGGACCGTCTAATAGCTGCTTCTCCAAAAATGTTGAATACATCTGGCGGAGCCAGGGACGACTATGGTGGTGCTCAAGGGCATTGATATTGGCCCATCTGTGTAACCGGTCAACTGCTTATCCTACAGAGATCTCAACCAGGCCCGTGCGACACATGCCTTTCAATGACTCTGAACTCTAAGGTACCATCAACTCGATGATGTTCTGTTAGAAGGAATGCCAAGCACGATGGTTCTGCCTGCTCCACAAGACGGGCCGTGTCGCAAAGAAGGTGTCTAACCTGATATAGCGGCGAATATCAGTGGATTTTTAGCAATGCCTGACAAAGCGCGAGGTAAGGGGCGCATACCTCAGTCTCCTTTCCCGGGGCCGGTCGCAGGGTGGCAATAAGTTGGGCCTCAGCCATGACTCAGTTGAGTTGGTGGCAGAACCGGCATGGTGACGAGAGGGAATATGGGCTTTTATCTCGTTGTCTTGCGCAACCTTGTCGGAGTTCCCTTTGTCGAGCCAGAGCCATTCAAGCAATTGGTCCTGGACATTGACCATGCTTGCAGCTCCATGAAGGTCAGCAACGCCTACCATGAGCATCTACAAACTCCTGGTGGAATTTCCCTACTGCATTAAGCCTTGCTAATTCCTGGGCTTACTCCACGTGATCATAAACACCTCCTTCGTACATTGAGACAGCCTTTGACCATGATCTACCATTATGCAAGCATCTGTCGGACCCAGGTAAAAGACTCGTTGTGCAGCACAGAATGATATCTTACAGATGACGCTGTGCATTATGTTGTGTATATCGGTATCATTGTTACAGAACTGATCGTCATAGATGCAGGAGAGGTGATCTCTGGCCCGCATCTCTAGCAAAGGGGAGCGGCTTCCTTGGAGGGAGAAATACTTGATTTTTCAATATTAACTAGACAGTACTAGCATCGCTGGTATGTACATCCTTGTGCATATCGTCACAGATACCGACTTTGATGAGTGAACGTCGAACAGTGATATATGTGTCTTGGCCATCATCTACAGGGGTAGCAGTGGAGAATATGGTCTGCTTGTCAGGCTGACTAGGAAATTCCCGCTGGTTCCTAGCCTCTTGTACACACATGTGTCATTGATTATGCCAGATAGGTTACGTTGACTGCATAAAGACACATCAGGGCTACTGTCTTTCTGTACACATGCACAACAAAACGACATTGAGAACTGTAAATCCGAGGCCGGCTTTGGTCATGCGGGCATAGACCTGGGACACGAGGTATACATCATGTCATTCTTTGAAATTTGAATGACATTAGCGGGGACCTGAAGGCGAAACTATTCGATATGGTGTCATTTGCTTGGGAGACAAGCTGATAGATAGACCTCCGCTTGTGGCACACCCCAGTAGCCTACGTCAACGCTGGCATTTCAACACCATTCGCAAAAGTTTTGACTCGGTAAACTGTTTCGGACTCTACGGAACAAGGTACATCTACACCCACAAGTGTCTGAACTTCGAAGGCGCAGAGGCGTCGATATGGTGAAGAAGGTGTCTCACTCTCCATATTGGAACATAGAAAAGCGAACATTATGTTAGATTCCGCCACCTAACAAAGAGAACAGTGCCCATTATGCTATAGTTGTATATCTGGAAGCTAATATTTCATTCATAGATGATCGCAACCTCTGTGCAAGATTTGTAGTGTTTATGTGCAATCATTACACAAATTCGGCGGCACGATGACTGTCCAACAGCGAGGACTTGGAAGCAATGGCTCAGATAATGAGGATGCTATGGGAAGTGTGAAGACCATCTTGGTTACTGGGGGCGCAGGATTTATGTAAGTTTATTACCGGGCGATGATCATTCGGATGTAGAGACATCGACAGGTGAATTAACACTGCATTTCAGTGGGGGCTGGTTCATTCGGCACCTCCTCCAGGTATATGGTACGAGGTATACGGTACTCTGCTTTGATATCCTCGATTACTGCGCGTCCAAGTGCAACATACACCCCGTCGAGCATCTTCCCAACTTCCACTTTTTTGGAGGCGATCTGTGCGACCCCGACAGGGTAACAGCTGTCTTCCAGCAGTTTACAGTGGATGCCATTGTCCACTTCGCAGCAAATTCTCACGTGGATCAGTCTCTGGTTAACCCCGTCTCTTTCACTCGGAACAACGTGACTGGGACCCATGTTCTTCTGGAAGCAGCACGACAGGCCGGGACGGTCGTACGGTTTATCCACGTATCTACTGACGAGGTATACGGAGAAAATCGGCCAAACCAGGACTATGCCTTTACCGAGGAAGATCGGCTGAACCCGACCAATCCATACTCAGCTAGCAAAGCCGCTGCTGAGATGATCGCCAATGCCTATCGGTATTCTTTCCATATGCCCATCATAATAACTCGCTGCAACAATGTTTTCGGTCCCTGTCAGTACCCGGAGAGTAAGAGCTCCCTGATGACATTCTAGAGGGCTGCTGGTTCCTGACGTATATTTTCTTAGAACTCATCCCCAAATTTGCGATGCAAATGCTGCGTTCCCAGCGTATGACTTTACATGGTGAGGGAAACGCAGTTCGTGGGTTTGTCTTTGCCGGCGATGTCGTGAACGCTTTCGATCTCATTCTCCATCGAGGTCTTGTATCCGAGACCTACAATATCTCATCAAAGGAGCAGCTTCAAGTCATTGACGTTGCGAAACGAATTCTACGGTGGTTTCACGCAGGTCCGAGCCATGCGTGTGAGCAATATCTCGAGACAGTGACAGATAGGCCCTTCAATGACCGGATGTATTGGACCGATGACTCTAAGCTCCGGCAACTAGGGTGGGAAGAGAAAGTTTCATTCGATGATGCACTTACAATGACACTAGAATGGTATCGGGACCATGGCGAAACATTTTGGTCTGATCCAGGCCCAGCCTGCAAATGGAATGGGCGTCCGGGGTAATCCTCCTTATTCACACCGGTACCATCGCTTTGCTTGCGTTGTGGGTGAGGTTAAGATCCATATATGAGGATATTACTACCGCCATCTAACCGGTATCTGGATTCCACTCATGCTAGACAGAATACAGTAACTTTATCTTCTTATTGGACGGTTATTACACCTTTTGTAATTGTGCATTTCCCTATGAAAACATGAAGACGAGAAAGACATAACTTCCCTCGCTTAGCTGTTGACTCTCCATACCTCAACCACGAAACAGCTTCGCCTCTCAGGCCAGCAAGTGCACACGTTGGTGCTTACTCCATGATTTGTCCTGGCGTTGTTGGTAAGGACATTGACTGTCAGCACAGAACCCCCTACAGGTTCGATCATCAAAGTGCAAGAAAGGACTTTCTTTGGACATAGAAACCGTGTGATCTAGCCAAATATATAGATTTCCAAGTCTTGATCCACGTAAGCCATAGGGCTCACCAGAAATGACCTTCTGAGACTCGCCGAAAAGCAGTGCGGAGTTTCCCAGGGCGCGGAAAAGAGCCGACGGCTGGAGAGTTCCAGCAGGCCAACCACAGCCTCAAATAACCATCATCATCAAACCCTTTTAGCTTCTGATTCTTCAAACAAACTACTACCATGTTTGCTTCAAATTCTTCCAGAAAGTCTATTCAGGCCATCTGTGCTTTTAGCACAAAGACCCCAACTGTGGCCGTTCTTCTCCAGGCTATTGACCCACCCGTGATCAGTGGCGTCACAAAGCCTCGCAAGCCGGGTGATAAGCCCTCAGTACCCTCAGAGACATGCTTATAGCTGAACCCTTCCCCGGCTATCGGGATTCTGGCGCGGACATTGTTTACACCCTTCTGCAGAAGGGCGTGAAGGTCTTAAAGTCAGATCCTTCGGCCCCAGTCTCCCCCAATGAAGGCTGGGCGTTCCCAGACACGGAGGAAGGAATTTACAGCGCGGCCCAGCAGGGTGCCACGTATTCCTGGGCTAACACCATTCTTTTCACCTCTCACCCTCTTCAAATATCCTCGAAACTAACACCTGTAGCCTCTGAGATCTACGCAGTGGGTCAGTCGCCAGGCCTGGTTGAAAGCTTTGATGACAAGGCATATCTGAACGATAAACTACGGGAGCTTGGAGGCTACACCCTACCAAAGTCCTGTCTGGTGAGTCCTGAAAATATCAGTGAAATTATCAACTATATCGACCGGTGCCCAATCGTCGGCAACCCTGTTTGAGGACGCGGTAGCCATGAAGTGAAAGTGTGTCACGATAAGGGCCAGCTACAGCGACATGTCCAGACCCTCCTTCGTGAATCGCCACTGGTCATGCTTGAGGAGTTTCGCTCTACTGGGGAGGCAACTATCACCGTCATGCCTCCAACTATAGAGCATGCTCAACACTGGAGCATGCTTCTGCTGATCCTGTGGTGTATGTTACTAACAATGTATGGCACATTGAGTGTAACATCTACGTGGTCATGGGATATGATGCATTACTGCATTGACGAAGACAGAGCCACTTTGAAGTAGGAATCGTTGTTATCGGCGATAATAACTGGGAAAACATGCTTTGGCTTTCATCGCCACATAGCTCAAGTCAGCGGTCGAGAGCTGCGTTGATATTCCATTACCTGGACTGCTTAATAGAATAGACTAACATTAGCGAGCGGTAGGAACACAATATTGATCAACAGGTGCCTGTCACAACCCACCCCTGCCACAATGTCACATATCACGACTCCGTGTCGGTCCACCCCCATAACCTTCTTGGGTTATCCACAAACAACCTCCTCACCTGCGCCTGCGTTCCGGCCCACTCAAGCGTCTGTTGCAGAATAGCCTGATCGTCAACGTCCCTAAAGTCCTGCTCAACCAATCTCCCTCCAGCCCCATTCCCCTCCTTACTCGCCGTATGCGGCCAGTCGCTGCCAAAAACCACCATGTCGGGTCCATGCAGCATAAGTGTCTCCGCGATAACCCGCAGATCACTATACAGCGGCTCGTCCCGCGAGTTCTGGTACGGCGCCGAGATCTTAACGAAAAGGTGGTTTCGTCGCATTAGGTCCACCACTTCTCGGAAGCCGGGGATGCTGAAGGGATCGATCGCATTGTGTAGATTGCCCGTACGGGAAGCTGTCATCGCGTGAGCATAGTGATCCGCTACGACGCGTACCCCCAGGATTGGAATTATGGTGTGAAGGGACTTGAAGGAGGCGATAGGGACCCATAACTGCAGGATCCAGTTGTGAATTCGCGCGATCGACGCCGCGCGAATGGTATCTGCAGTAATCTGTGCGTCTGTTCCTTCGTTACCATAGTTAATGCGGATTCCGCGGACGCCGGCGTCGTGAAATGTTTGAAGGGTAGTGTGATCGATTTCCGCCGAAAGGTCTAAGACGCAGACGCCGCGATAAGTACCGTTGGTGGCGCGTAGGGCGTCGATAAGGACGCTGTTATTAGTTCCATATACGCTGGGTAAGACAATGACGGCATGCTGAATGCCGACGGAGCGTTCAAATGCCAGGGCCTGTTCGCGAGTGGCAGCTTTGGGGGTGTAGTCTAGCAGGGCAAGTCGGTCAGATCTGGGCTTACGTTCTGAAAAAGGTCAACAGCGCGCACCTCTGTCTGGACTGAGGGGGAACTTGTCGGATTCGATGATATGAATATGAGAGTCCCTATCTTCGAGTCAACACCAAAGTGAAGTTGGTTGCCACGAGCCAGGGGAATGACCAAGCATATTTCGGGACTGTTAGCCCGGCTTTAGCCTTGACGATTGTCATGCTGACGAGAAAAAATAACTGTCAATGTTAGTGGAGCCTATTACTGTACGTAACGAACGCACTGTCTGTAGAATGGTAAGGCCAGCAAGCTTGAAAGGCATAATTGCAAAGAAACTAGAAACACCAGCGACTACCAGCAGTCCCACCAAGTTGCCATTCTTAAAGTGTATTTTGATAATTTCCCCGGATCTCAGATCAAAGCATCTCCACTCTCACCCCGCGAATATCTGTGCTGGGAGTTCGGCAGAGCGGGTTTCGTTTGAGAACTGAAGACTGCTACGTGGTCTATCGGATCTATCCGAAGCTGGCGTAATGGTATTTCGAGCCTACTTGTTATTAGAATGGCGAACGGACCGATGCCGAAACTAAATACTAGTTAGTAGGTATATATCTTGCAGCGCACCTCGGCTCGGCTGCCAGTCCGAGATTGACTACTAGGCTGTCTTTCCCCGCCCCCCGATCAACTTGTTGCCTTCTCTGACAACGATATACCCGCTCACTGCCCGTCTTTTCTTCGGCCTCGAGACCCCTGTATTGTGTTGTAGCCAGATATGCTAGGATGGAGCAGCGGAGCCTACTATCGTATCCAACCGAACCGGTCCGCCCTTCTGCAAACACAACCTCTAAGACGCGGACCCCAACTGCCCCGACTCGGCATAAACGGCGTCCTTCGGCTTGTGTCCGCTGCCGACGGCAAAAAGTTCGCTGTGATGGCGCCGTACCCGCATGCTCGAATTGCGCGAGAGCTGGTGTGGACTGTTTGGAAGGGAGAGCTGCGTCTGCTGTGTCCAGAAGGTGGCTTTCCTCCCTGGTGTTATGCCATCTGCTAACATCCATTGATCTGCTAGTCGATTATACTATCTCGAACGGCGTGTTCGAGAGCTGGAAAGACTGGAGGCATTGCCGTTACGCGATAATGCTGATAATGCTGAGAGTACCGACAATAGCCGAAGCGCCTGTGATCAAAATGCGTTGTTTGATGGGCACAATGCAAGTCCAACACCGGCCCCTGTAGTCGTCGAGAATCATGGCATTCACCTGGTTGAAGACCACCACAGCCCTGCCGTGCAGTCACCAGCCGTTTCGGGCTCGACCCAGATCACTCGCAACCAACCACTTGCCCATGAAGTTGGGCTTCTGTCGCTCGCCAATAACACTGAACCTAAATATCTAGGTCCATCATCTGGTATTTCTTTTGCTCGCCTTATCTATGAAAGCGCACCGCAATCACAAGGCCTCCCACTGTCGCTACTTCAAGGCCAAGGCACGCATAAACATCCTCGCGTGCTTCCGCCTACAGCGACAGGACGGGCGCCCAGCTCAGATGCATCTAGCATTCCGCCCATCCCTTTACCCTCTCCGGCCGAATGCCAGCAATACGCTGAGGCTTATTTTGAGGGCACATATCTCTATCCTTTCATCTCACAGCAAGGGCTCTATCAGCTCCTAAGCCAGATTCAGAAGTATAATGAATCTTCTACATGGAACCATCCGCTTCCGATCCGATTAGCTGCGGCGCAAGTGGGCCTTGTTCTTTCCCTGGGGGCACGGTTCCTTGAAGTACGCTTAGGGTCCGATTTTGATTCCAGTGATCTTTTCGTCTCTGCCATGACTCACAGTTCCCAGATCTGCCTTCAGGACAGCATGGAGGGTGTGCAAATTTTGTTACTGATGGTTCTTCACAGCTTCTACAGTCCAGAGGGTCTGAATGCTTGGTATCTGCTTCACACTATCATTGCAAGCTGTCTGGACCTTGGACTTCAACGGCGGAATGAATGTGAGTTGACGCAAAGAGATGTGAGCGCCCCAATGTCTGACCTTGTCTTCTAGATGCAGCAGAGTTGAATTCGGCGACATACCGTCTGGCCGCACAAAGACGTAGCGCCATCTTCTGGTCGGCCTATTCAATGGATCGGACACTAACCACTATTCTCGGTCGTCCATTGACCCTCAGAGATGAGGCCATTGATCAGCCATTCCCAGGCCTGGATGCAAGTGATGAAGTTGAAGAAGCAGCAACCAGGTGGGATAGTGCAAAAATGACGCACCATCCGTTCGAGCAGATACCGTCGACATATCTAGCATTCATTTACTCCTTACGATTTGACCGAATTACTGCTGAGATCAAGCTCATGATATACCGCGTTTCTCGCTCACCACGCCGCTTTCCCTGGCCATCAAACATATCCTCCTGGCAACGGGAGACAGATCAAGCCTGCAAGAATCTCCTAACTGAAGTCTACACTCAGCAGCGCGGGCGTTCCGTGTGCGGTCCTAGCTCACTATCTGGAACTACCGTGCAACGATTGGAGATCAAATTCCACCAGTGCATCATGCTTCTCTACCGACCCAGTCCTCAACTTCCATATCCGACATTCGCAGCCATAGAGTCTTGTTTTGGTAGCGCAATGAAGATAATCCAAATCAACACGGAGCTTCACCGCTTCAGGAACATGGAGTGGTCGTGGCTCTCTGCCCACACTATCTTTGTTGCTGCCATTACAGTTCTGTATTGCCTCTGGGCCTACCCAGCGGTGAGAGACCTGACGCCAGCGACCGTTCCATTATCCCGTGTAGACTCCGCCTTGGAGCTCCTTACCTTCCTTAAACAGCGGTGGTCTGTAGCAGAGGAGCCATGCGAAAAGCTCTCACGACTGATTGCCCTAACCCACGAAACTATGCGCGAGACCGCTGAGAACCAAAGGCGATCTGCGACTGCGGATGACATTACAACACATCCTCCCGCTGAAACACAGCTTGGAAATGGGGTTAGCATGGTGCCACAAGAGGACGGTAGATCGCTGCTAATAGATGAATTGGGCATCCTACGAGATTTGTTTGACCTCGGCTGGCTCAGTGATTGGGGCTCGGATGCTACCCAGCCACCAGTTTGGGATACTTCCGAGCTTTTGAGGGGCTTTGATAGTTAGGGTAACTTTGCCGTAGGTGGTCTTGGAGAATGAGCTGATCCCCAGAAGACCGTCAAATTCATCATTTCTGTAGCTTGGATAAGTGCTTCCCATTATGTATATGAAGTGTAACTATATCATGACCTTGCTCGACTATCTCATTATTCTATTTGATTCGTTCATCAAGGACACTCATGTAGTCCGCGTAGGCCGAGCCTCCCCCGCGAGACGGCAACCCCCCGAAGTCCGTCGGATCAGCCGATATTGCCGATATCGCCCATTCACGACGCCAGCAAATCCTATAAAGGCAATTGAATAAATTTCGGCGGCCTCTGCCAAATATCATCTTCACCGACTACTATCGGGCTTGTCTCAAAAATGACTCCTACGAGCAATTCACGAGATATCATCGAGCGTTTCAAGCAATGGGGCGCTTGCGACGTAAGACCATGACCATGCACAGACCCAACACATTGGTACTTTTTGGTTAGCTCGTCATCAATGCTAATTTACACTAGGTTGCCGACGGCCTCAGCAAACTCAAACACCCAGACGGAGGGTTCCTCGAAGGCCTTGCCCTCTATTCACCAGATTACCAAGCCGGAGAGACCAAGATCGTTGGCCAAGCATTTACGGTGAAATTCGTGCCAAAAGACGACCAAGCTGCGCCGAGACTCGGTGGAAACTATGTCCGTGACGTCTCTTTTCTGGGCATCCAAACTCACAGCTCTTATTTGGCTGATCGTTTTCTATGAGGTAGATTGATATGGTCCCACCCGGAGTTGTGATTGTGATATCCCAGCCCCTCCCACAGGTAAACGCCGTCTATGGTGGGCTGATGACCCTGCGGGCACAGGCGGTAGGTGCAGCGGGGGTAGTGATTGACGGACGTGTACGAGATTTAGGAGAGCACCGAGCCCTAAAATTTCCTGTATGTCATATTTCTTCTCCTTCTTCATAAGTCATCATGGCCAACACGTTGGCGCTCTGGCTCCAACAACGACTAACAGCTACGTTAAATGGTACAGCTGTTCGCCAGATATGCCGGCACCACAGCTGGCGGGGCAGTCTGTCGGCCTTCTGAAGTAAACGTTCCCGTGCGGCTGCACTCTGAACATCAGGAGGCTTGGATTAACCCGGGTGATTATATTGTAGCCGATTTGAATGGAGTTGTGCGTGTGCCAAGGGAAACGGTGGAGGAGGTGCTTGATGTTATTCCGGAAATTGTGGAGGCCGATCGGAAGTGTGCAGAGGGGATTAGGGCGGGAAGGAGTGTACAAGATGTGTTCAAGGAGTTTAGGGGGCGGTAAGGGTAGATTATAGGTGATATAAAGCGTGGTTGCAATAGCCTAGCTACCTGGTCCTTCTCGTCTGGTAGTACATCCGTCCATGAAGAGCAGCTTTAGCAAAGGAGATCCCAAGAAAGCTGATTTGTCTCGTTTTGTCTAATTGTAACCAGTAGTTTGATTACTCAAAGGATACGTTCTTCAATGACTCTGAGGCCCAAATATATATCTGAATTGACTGTGGCCAATCAGGGAATACACATCAAACTAGAAAGATGACATTGCCAGAAAGCAGTGACTACAAAGCAGCATAGAGATGTTGGAAGAGCAGTGACTCATCTGGTCCTCAAAATGCGCTAGCTTGGGTAGGCTAGGCAATGTATCGGAACCCCTCCCTTCGCGCAATGCGCTCTTCATCAGAGACACCGGCAATCTCTCTCTGGCTGTGACCTCTCATCTCCTCCGTCACGGTTGTCTCCCCTCTATCGATGCGCCGATTAGCGCGACGGAGAACGAATCGCATGAATAGCGCTAGCACAATCGCACCGAGTGAGAAGGCTGAGTTCGCTGCCATGGCGGTCACGTACCGCGGAGCGGAGCTGTCGGGGTAGAAGTACGAGGAGAAGATCTGCAAAAGCACTGTTGGCATGGTAATCCTTTTATCTGATTCGTTCGCTGAAGGTAAGGAAGTTGGTATGTACTTGCGAAAGGTTCCCAAAGGCATTAACAAATGCCACAGCCGACGCCCGCTTAATTCTAGGCCTAAGCATTGTTTTCTGTGTCCAGGCCAGCACGACAGCGTTCGAGCCATGCCCCCCGGCTACCATCAAAATCATGGCGAAGTACCTCGAGCCCGTGTTTAGCGTAGCGGCCGCAATAATGAAACCGGCAATCGCAACTGAAAGTGGCCAGATAGCGTGAAAGGACGAATTGCGAAGCCGATCAGCAGACCAATTATTAGCTATAGATATGACTAGGGCTACCATGTACGGTGGCACAGTAAGCAGCAAGGTATTAACAGTGCTAAAACCTAGCGTCTTAACGACGGCGGGAAAAAAGTTGGACGTCGCACTCGCGACTTGGATGCAAAGAAAACTGAGCGCGAAGGCGTACAGCCGCCAGTCGCTAAATGCCATCTGGAACCCGTAGCTCCAGCGTTCATCATCTTCGTCAACCTGACCGGCATCCTCAATTAGGCGCCATTCGGCGACGGCGCGCTCTTCCTGGGTTAGCCAGGGGGTATTCGAGGGGTAGTTTGGGAGGATGAAGAAGGCCATAAGAGCAATAAAGATGGTTGCTGAGCCCTCAATAATAAAGATCCAGCGCCATGATTCGAGCCCTCGGGCCCCGTCTAGACCGCTCGTAATGCCGGAACCGATAAGGCCGGAGAATGCGCTTCCCAGCTGGGAGCCGGAGAAGAGAAAGGCGCTACGTACCCCCATTTCGGAACGCTTATACCAGGATGAGATGAGGAAGAGCGCGCCGGCTGTTAGAGTCATGTCAGGGGTATCACACGGGAGGAGGTTGGAATCTTACGATAAAACGCTGCCTCAACAAACCCAAGCAGGAACCGGAGAGCATACAAACCGGCTGCGTTGTGGACGACTCCTACTAGCGCAGAGAGCATGCCCCAGATGACCATAACGGACGGGATGTAGAGTGAAGGGCGTAGGTTGGCCAGAAAAATATTGGATGGAATTTGCATCAGCACGTAACCAGCGAAAAGCAGAGCCACGGCCGTAGCATAGTGCGTGCTGCTTAGGCCAAGGGAGCCTTCAATGCCGGCTATCTTTGCGGCTGATATGTTGTTCTGCACCACATAAGTCGTGTTATCATGAGGCCCAATCAAAAGTGCACAGGGAGGGAGAAATTACTCGATCCAGATAGTTCATCACGAAAATAATCCAAACACAGAGCAAAAGACGCATATCCAGTTTCTTCTTCAGCCTCCTCTCTGCCAGGGCAATTTGCTCGGGAGTCATTGTCCGGGCAGGCGTGAGTCGGTCAGGCTCGAGACCACTTTTGCCTGAACTGACAAGCTCGGTATGCTCGACGGATTTGTGCTCCATGGTGTAACTACGTGAGTAACAGATTTTTCCAAGCAGAAGTTGTGGTATCTGTTGAAATGAGACAGTAGCGGAGGAACTATCACTGCGGCAGCTTCACTACATGGGATACCCATCATCAAGTATACCCTTTCCCCACGGGGATGCCAAGCAGTCAAACCCCATGGGGAGAGCACTTCAACCCCGCTGAAGCAGCACTTGGCTGGACTAGTCTCAACACGGTCTCCTAGTACTATGGACGGTAATGTCGGTCAGGGCTTCGGATAATAGCCATGGCAGTGATAAGGGGTTCTTCGGGGCAGGAGGCGAACGGCAAAACGCCGAAGAAATGAAATTATCTTCTCCTACCCCGTGAACGGTTAGAGCCGGGACATGTCTTTATGTATTAGTACACCCAATGTCCATATAAAATTGTTCGTTATTGGCTAGTTCTACTCTAGTGATCATTTCATCTCCCAAAGACAGAAACTAGCGCCCACGGTATCTGCAAACAGAGCGAAATGACAATCGTGCACATGGGTACACTGGCTCTCTTCTAACCGCGTATTCACAAGCTAACAGACTTCTTTGATGTTAGTGATGTTCAAGTTCCGCTCCGATGTAACTGCGGCGCATAAAGAGACCTTCGCTCGAGAACTCAAAAAGCTCAAAGATATGGACTGCGTGAAAGGACATCGACTAGTCGTGGGAGGGCCCTCAATGACCGACCCCATTGAACGAAGCAAGGGGTTCGAGTTTGCGCTTTTGAGCTTTCATGAGTCTCTTGCAGACCTAGAGAAGTATCAGGCAAGCAAGGAACACCACTGGTGAGCGGCAACCTAATAAGTGTCTAGGAAGCTGCTAATGTGGTCGTCGGGTGTAGGGTTACAAGCACGTATATGTTTCCATACAAGGAAGACCTGGTCCGTTTTGACTTTGAAGTTCCGCCGGAGGACGAGTACATGTTTTTGTTCTCACAGTAAAAAATACTCCAAGATAGTTGCCGCTGAGAAATATGTGAAAATGGCGAGTTTGGACTTACTGCACCCTGTCCCATTCAATAAATTACGGTAAACACTACTAGTGGGGTGAGTGTCGGCGTTTAACCGACCTAACCCCCTCATCCGACTCTCGGAACTTCCGACCTTGGCAGCTATATAAATATACTCCCTCAGACGCCGAAAGGTTTTGCACGTATCTAACCACTTCCTTCCTCTCACCATTAAGATGTCATCCACTAAACAGTCACGTTATTACGCCGATCCGGAAAAAGCAAAGGAGTTCGCGGCTGCGCTCCTCGTCAAAGCAGGCCTCGATTCAGAGGACGCACGCTCGATGGCAGAGTGCTTAGTCCTAGCCGATGTCCGCGGTGTCGTAAGAATCCCAAGTACTTTGTTTCTAGTACTATCTAACAGATGATAGGATACCCATGGTCTTGCAAGGCTTCCGCAGTACCTTGATCGCGTTAGTAACGGCCGGGTCAACGCCCGGCCAAGCATCAAGATCACCAACAAAACCCCCGTAGTTGCACACCTGGACGGAGATAACGGCTTTGGCTTCGTCGTCGCAACTCGCGGTATGGACGAAGCTATCAAGCGTGCAGGAATCTATGGTATCGGAATGGTAACGGTCAACCACTCCAATCATTTTGGCATGGCAGCAACATACGTCCTCCAAGCTCTCAAGGCAAATATGATCTCGCTTGTCTTCACCAATTCCGCCAAACAGATGCCCCCTTTCGGAGGGAAAGAAACGCTCCTCGGTATCTCTCCGTTTGCTGCCGGTGCTCCGTCAAACACGGAGGTGCCATATATTCTTGACATGGCGCCCTCTGTTGTTGCCAAGGGAAAGATCCGACGCGCTGCACGCCGTGGTGAGCCTATCCCTCTGGGCTGGGCCCTAGATGCAGATGGGAACCCGACAACGGACGCAAATGTCGCCTTAAACGGCAGCATGGCGCCAATTGGAGGGCCGAAGGGATCCGGTATTGCGATTCTTATGGACATTATGTCGGGCGTTTTGGCAGGCGCCGAGTTTGGCGGACAGGTTGGAGACCAGTATAAGGATACGAAGCCCCAGAATGTAGGCCACTGCTTTATTGCTGTCAAGCCCGATGTCATCATGAGCACGGAGGATTTCAAAGCTCGAATAGATATACTTGCGCAACGTGTGCACGGGGTTAGTCCGGCGCCCGGCTTCTCGGAGGTGCTGTTTCCTGGGGAGCCCGAGCACCGGTTGGGGTTGCAGAGGCGGGCTGAGGGCATTCCCTATGCGGATGCGGAGAAGACTCTTTTCGCTGATGCCGCAAAGCAGTATGGTGTCCCAGAACTACCACTATCGGATTGTCCGCTAGCATTGAGTTGAAATCGTGGAAGATCAAAAGACGATGTAAAGGCGTATAGCAATGCTCTCATTGAGAACATACAATGAGCCATTCTATGTCTAGCGACGTCCGCTTAATTATTTTGAGCTCACCCACCTAGGTCAATGGTTGATTAGCTTGACTTATACCTACGAATACTATAATCAAGGATGGTATATTTGATTATAGGAATGTTTTATCAATTCTGGTTGTGATAATGTAAGACCAGGTAATCATTCAATGGTTATCATATTTGCCAACCATATATAATTAACTACATCTCAGACCTATGGAGACAATAACAGCCATGCGTCCCTATCTACTCATTTATTCCAATACCTTCTCAAATCATGATCGTTACCAGTTTCTCACATTTTGAGTGCCCTGAGACCTTTTGTTCATCTACTGTTTGTATGCACTTTTTTTCCAACTAGATGAAAGGCACTCCAGTGCCAGGCAGCTACATCAGAGTGTTGTCGAGCCTGTGCAGTTGAGCTTGCTGGGATGCTCATACTCGTGATTCACTCTTTCCATATACTATTTCAAAAATGTAGCCATTAACCCCACCCTCGGTCGGCCATGGCCGGGCCAACCCATCGGACCGCTACCGAAGGGTTCGGTTAGATCCGTCTTTCCCGCGTGTTGATCGCCTCGCCAGTCGATTTGTTTTACTTTTTCAAAAAGAAAGAATCACTCAACTACTGGTCTTTGGGCGGTTAGTGAGTGAGATGTGGACATGTAACTAATGGATATTGCAAAGAAGAGAATGCTGACATACTACTGGTGTCCATTCCTTCGTTCTGCACATATAATCATCGATCTTTAGTTAGGAAAATCTGATATCGGCTTAGGTTTTGGAGTAAATACTCGGTGCACGCATCCTTGACAGGACAATTCGGGAAGAATCTACACTGATACCACACTCTCTATGAATACTCAAGCGGGATCAAGCCTTGCCTGCCGAGCCAAACAACTTCATCACCCTTTCCACCGACTCAGCGTAGATCTCAACTGCCCGTACCTTGAGCACCGTCAACTCCAGCTTTCCCGCATTCTCCGCCACAAACGCCGTGTAGTTGTCGCGCACCGTCCGGTTAACATTCACCTTGCTCATGCCACATTCAATTGCCCTGAGGAAAAGCTCGTCCGAGACCGGATGCGTACCATGCAGGACGAGCGGAGTGGACGGGACGGCCTCTTCGATCTGTTGGAGCCTGCACAGTAATGAATGCAGTCAGTGGCCCTTTGATCTTCACAACCTAACCACGTTGGAGAAATGAGGAGTAGCCTACAGCTCTAAATCCCAACATCCCTCCGCTCCCACAACCCCGTAGCCCCCATGCACATTCCCAAAGCTGGGCGCCAAAAAGTCCGCCTGAGTCGCCTCCAGGAACTCCCGTGCATCGCTAGGCCTCGTCATCACACTGCCTAGGTCCATGTTAGGAAGGCCATCCTCGCCACCCTCAATCCGCCCTAATTCAACCTCGACCGCCATACCGCACTCATGCGCCCTGGCTACCGTGCTCGCGCAGAGCGCGACATTCTCAGCCTCATCCATGCTGGACCCATCAATCATTAACGAATCAAAGGGGAGTGTGAGAGCGAAATCGATGTCATCGGGTTCGATGCAGTGATCTAGATGCACAGCGATGGGGACGGAAGCGGCATGCGCAGCAGCGACGACGAAGCGGATGAAGTGTGCGCCCTGGAAGTGCATAGTCCAGGGAAAGAGTTGGATTATGGCGGGGCTGTGCGCGCGCTCGGCGGCGCGGATGACTGCCATGATGCCGTCGGTGTTATAGCTTTGATTAATTCGTTAGGTCTCGTAGTGGGAGAGGATTGGGCTGGAAGACTGATTCACGGGGGAAATATGTACCAGTTGTAGGCGCCGACAGCGTATTTGCCATTCTTTGCGGCATGGAGGATGGAGCGCGTACGGTTAGTGTGATGAGATTGAGAGCAGGTGGACATTTTGCGTGCCAATTTTTGTTGAACAAAGAGGTTGATTTGGAACATTTGAGGCAGTAGTCACTTTTCTACATTAATACTCAGTCACCTAGCCCAGTCCCGACGGACTTGCCTCCGAGGACAGCTCCGTCAACGGGGAATTCCGAGCGCGTCTTTACCGAGTCCGAACAGTTGCCGCGATCAGTAGCCCTCCTTTCCTGGTGATCGTATACCTAGTTTAAAATTATCTGCAGATTAATAACTTGCCATGGATAGTTTGAAGGGAAACGGTGAGACGAGTGGCTTCTTCCGGAGGAGCTGGGCGGCCCTGCGTAGATAGGGGAGTTGTACCTGAGACAGAGTTTCTTTGTATGTTGCTTATATCATAATCTAGCGAATCGTTCAGGAAATAGATAATGTAGTATCTTGAAAGGGTCGTGTTCATGCTGACAGTTTTCCCGGTAGTTGGGTCTCACAGTAGTAGGCCCGGATATCATGGGTTCTTCTTTGAGTAACTCGTCTATGAATTTGTATTAGACACCACCCTACGTCGAAGATTTGAGGCGGCCATGCCTTTGAACGGGATCAGATTGAATTGATTCCAGGCAGTTCCCGCCCAGGATATGCAGATATAGTATTGTGGTAGAAAAGTAGTATCAGAGGTATTTCATAGTACCTGTGCTGAGATGGTTCGGTGTGGGATGAACCTGCGGTCTAGTTGCATGCCGGTCAATATCATATTCCTCACACTCCATGTGTAAGGACATTGTTTGATTTAACTATCTAAATATCCTACCAATCTGTAACCTCTATCCCTATCAGGTATCGAGATTATATTAAACGCGTGCTTCAGATCAATTTGTGTCATCGCGGCATTAAGCGTCCAAGTCACTCAACAAAAGCCCCAATGAAGAATATAGAATATTCTAGAGTGGCTCATGTACTGGGAGGAATATGGGATCAATATTTGTCATAAATTTGATTTTCCACAACAGAACCGGTTAGAGAGTCTGGCGGAAAACTGCCGAGGAAAAAACAAAAGAGAAAGAAAATACATAAATAAAGAGTTAGATGAAAAGGATATGAAGAAAATGAAAGAAGAGAATGGTTTCGTCAAAGTAGTCAAAAGACCCCGAAAATAGTAAACCTCTGATAGAGCGAAGAAAAACTACCATCAGGCGTATTGGCGGGAAGCTGCGGTTATCCGCGCTGATGTGAGATTGGTGCGGGGATAGCCTTGCTTACGGCACTCCTTTTAAAAGAAGCGCAAAGCCCTGGAAGACGAGGTGGCTGAAGGGAGTACAAGTTCCATTCCACGGCCATAAATGCCCAAACCTATCAACCGATCATCATGTCCTTCTTCCCTACCCCAACATCAGAGCAGAGCATGCACAAAGGCAACTGCCACTGCGGCGCTGTGAGCTTCCGCTTTTCGCTGTCTCCGCCTCTGTCCGAATATCCTGTCGTCGACTGCAACTGCTCTATCTGCAGCAAAAATGGGTACCTGCTCGTGTACCCCTCGCTCCAAGACTTCACCCTTGAGAGCGGCGACGAAACAACCCGGACGTACCAATTTGGCCGGCGTCAGGCGAAGCACGAGTTTTGTGGGACCTGCGGGAGCAGTTGTATCATCCGGCTGGTGGCAGAGGACGCGCCACCAATCATAGCAGTTAATGTGAGTGCATCGGTGTAATTGAAGGGCCAAAGGTGATGCTAATTGATCCAGGTCCGTTTGCTGGAGGACTGTGATCTGGACAAACTAAATTACAAAAAAGTTGATGGAAGGTCTTTCTAACCACATTATACGTACCAGCCGCCGCTCTATCAAAATCTTATATTCACGAGATGCAGCCAGTCAACGTCACTCGGAACACTCCACTCACCGTCGGTATATGTAACCTCGTCCATCTCATACGAACAAGAGACATTGTTGGGGAAGGTGGTAACTCGGATATAACTTTGGTAATATAGGATGTTCTATGTACATTATTTCTATGAATGCTTTTGTCTATACACGTCTAGGGTATCTTTTACAACTTGACCTGAAATCGAGGGTGCGTCCGGATGCGTGCCCCGTACCGCCAAAAGAACAGCGGACACGCACACATCACGAGCGCAATGAAGGCGAGAAGAGAATTACCCCAACCCAAGCCCAGGGCATCATACATGGAAGGTCCGGCCAAGGGCAACAGGGCCCCAACCAGCGATCGTAGACCTGTGTTGGCGGCCGTCACCGAAGCGGCGTAGCGGAGGTAGGAGTCGACCAGATAGGTACTGGCCGACATGAAGACGGTCATCAGGCCAATGGCAAAGACACCAGTGCCGAGGATGGGCACGATCCAGTGGGTTTGGGCCTTGGCTGCCCAGCCGTACCAAAACAAGCCGATGGGGATGGCCCAACAGCCGAAGACCATGGGCGGCAAGCGTGATTCTGGGGTGAAACACCCCTTGGCCGAATGGGTGCGCGCAATGTGATTGGAAACGGCGCCACAGATGACGAGCCCAATCAGACAGCCCACACCGAATCCCAGATATGCCAGGCCTGCGACGCCTGGGGAGAAATGATAGACGTCCTCGAAGATGGAGGTGATGGTGGTGAACATCAGGTACAAGTACCCATAGGTGATGGCGGCAAAGAGCACCATGAGGAGGACAATGGGCGATTTGACGAGGAGCTTAAGCGGGCGAGCCAATGCGATCAGAAGGAGCTCACGCGCCTGCTGGCCACGGTCATGGACCGAACGTAGGTTGGGATTGCCCGTAGCCTTGCGTAACCGGGCCGCTTTCCTCTCCAGAATGACGGGGGCATAGGTTTCGCGATACCAAATCATGCACAGAATACTCATTACTGCGGTCTATTGCCAAGACGATCAATGTATTAGCGGGCGACGGGAGGAGGAGGGCTGGAGTGTGGAAGTCTGGACTTACAGCGATCGCGATCACCCAAAACACCCAGCGCCAGCCTTCAGCTTCGGCGAGGAAGCCACCAGCTACCGGTCCTACCACGGGGCCGAGGATGGGCCCCATGGCCCAGATGGCCATGATACCGGCGCGCTTCTCCTTGGGAACCATGTCGGCCACGGTGCCTGAGCCGATGGTGAGGGGGCAAACACCGGCGGTACCAGCCAGAAGACGAAAGACGATCAGCTGTGGCATGGTTTGGGCTACGGCGCAGGCGATGGTGAAGATGAGGAACAGGATGTTGCATGCATGATAGAGGGGCACCCGACCATAAATCTCCGAGAGCGGGGCGATGAAAAAAGGGCCGATCATATATCCCAGGACATAGACAGACACCACGAAGGAGGCGAGCATGGTACTGGTGGAATGAAAATCGATCATAACGTCCTCCACTCCGGGGGCGAACATGGAGGAAGCCAAGGGTCTAACGTGGTGATATTAGCTATTAGCACCCCAAGAACGGACAACTTGGAAGAGGATATGATAAGCAAAAACATAGCAGCAGCGAGACATACGTGATAAAGGTGTTGAACGCCATGAGAACTAACTGGCGGCCTTTTTTCCAGCGAGGCCAGTTGAATGGGTTTTCGAGGTCATCGGGGCCATCATAATCTACGACGTTGTCTGGATGCAGTTCGGTAGGCTGCAGAGTCGCGGGCGGCTGACCCTTTTCCAAGTCAGGGTTGGCGAGGGTATCGGATGCACCCATCTTGGCCCTCCTCGCTATAGTAGAAGGATTTGGAGGGGGAGGGGGAAAAGAACGGAAACAGGGGTAAGCAGACTACATCTACTGGATAGAAGGGCAATGACCCAGATTTTATGCTGGGAGGATTTTCAGACGACTTGAGGACGAATTGGCCGCAGCCCCATCGCATGTTGACCCATGGGAAGTTATGCCGACCGTCAGGAACACTGGCAGATTAGAAGCAATAGCAAAAGTCGTAACCGAACGGGTTATGCCACACTCCTACTTAGTACTAGTTTCCAGAACCATTTCGGCTGTCTTCGATCCGCGGGCCAATGGGAAGCGTCAGTAGCCCCTAATACACATAAATCCCCCATCATAAATACCCCTGCACAGGGAAACTAGTCCCTGGCCACTATTCATGTTGATGCATAATTGATAGATGTCTAGCATAACACGAACGAGACTAACTGAGTAAATTGAATAATTTAATAGTTACAGTTAGTTATTCCCGAAGAGCTTACGTCAGCTAGTCCGCCTCCTAAACGTTGCTTCTTTCTCTGAAATAACGTTTTCTAACATGAAGTAGAATTGGAATATACGTGCTTGTAGATGAGGGCAGATCATTTGACGATATGGTCAGGCGATATTAGTCTTCTGATGGGGAGACAGGGCATGAAACACAATGTCTTCATTCTGCACAGAAATTATGCTGTGCTCGGCTCGCTGGTTTTTCTTCCCGAAAGTGGGGCAACCCACTAAATCCAAAACAGGAATTAATGGCCGGGACGAATGGGAGACCGAAAACGAGAACGAAAACGGAAAGTCACTTAAATATGACGAGGAAGACATGAACGAGGTAATAGAAGCCCGACTGGATGTGCTGGTCGAGAGGGCTAAGTAATAACACTACGGTGTAGAATATCAGGTCAAATACTATTGGTCAGATTTGGAGATACCTTGAGTTCTTCCTGTCAGAAATCCAGGTTCAACCCATCTTCAATGCCACTGTTTACAAAAATATATCTCCTAGTATACCAGACTCGTACCACAACATGATACCTCTATGCCGCCTCTAGTAATTCTAACTTATTCCCAGGCATGTTCAAAAAAGAACGTAGGCTTACAATAAAATTAAAGCAACGACATTTACAATGCCAATAATTGCCTACAGTTCAGGACACAGGGCCGCTTTTAGTGGTGGAAGCTCTGAACAGGTTCACTGCTGCATTGTATCAGTCTGTCCAGAGCACCCGTGTACAATAAACTGTGTACAGGGTAGCTCGTTGGTTGTTCTCCTCAAGCTAACAGTTCCTGAGGTGGATGCCGATTTCATTTTCTGCCATGTACAGAATACTTCCACATGGAACAGACATACGCAAAGTCCCTAGTGATGGAATTTACCGCGCAGACACATCAGCGAAGAATAATAACTGGCCTATAAGCCGGATACTTCACTATCGGTTTAGCTAATGATGCAACATATGCTTCTGTGGGGCGATGGTGCGATGTGAGGCTCTGGCCTGGGGCAGTTTTCCACGCAGACGAGTTTAAGCTTAAAGCCTGAGACCGCACGGATTGATGAACTGCTTATGGAGCTTACAGACCACGGGCGGCCAATCATGTCAATGGTCCCTGGAACATAACTATCCCTGTACGTATAACTATTACGAGCTGACTAAGGAGGGGGTAAAGAGCACTGACACAGTTTAATGCTATTCGACTCCAATGGCGTAGACAGCGTTGGTATGTCAAGGACCACTCCTTATGTAAGAAAACTCGACAGACAGTCGGATTCTAGCTGCTGCCAGTCTGGGCTGGGTTGCGTTGAAAAGGAATGTATGTGAAGCCTTTGTTGAGCTGTAGCATGATATGCGGAATGGAGCTACCCTGCTATTCAGTACTTTCATTATTGTGACTCTTGATTCACCGCAAGATTAGAATAAATATTGCTACCATGGTATCGCCTGTCTGAATCTCAGTCATTATTTCACTGATTCATGCCTTCCACAGCCGTAATTCGGACGCGGTCGGTCACTACAATCAACCCACATATGGCAACAGCTGGTATAATGCCAGATCCCTACATATCGCTGTACTATGAGGCAGGGAGCTAGTCCTCAGCAGTAACCGAAATAAATACAGGGATGATACTACCCATATTCATCATGAGCAACATCAGCTCCATTACAGGCATCAGATTCCCCATCGACGCTCTAGATGGGAACAACAGCCGTGCAAGTCGCTATGGAGATATTCCCGAATAGCCGTGATTATACCTTAACATCCATACCACTCAAATGGCCAATTGTGATGGAAAAATCACCCTTAAAATGTATGTGGTTAGCACTTTCCCATAGATCAACAACATACAGACTATTACAGCAGAAGCAACGTAGAGCACCAGCCAAAATAAAGCAGAATGTGTTTTCGTAGTCTCCAACTCCACAGGTATCATTTCCAGCAAACATGACTTGGTGATTGCATTCAGGGACCAGTATACAGGCGGCTTGATCATGATTCATAACTTTACCATGGACACGTAGAACGTGATTTTGGGCATGGTCGGGCTGTGAGAAACTACATTCATTGCGATATATCTCCGCCATGACCTTGTGCCGCGAGCTGGACCTAGCAGTCCTTGCTGGTATATGCATCACAGCGCAGGAGGGGGCAATAGATGTCATGATGCTCCCATATGACATGCTTGATGATTTGGCGGTCTCAGCGTTTCAGTTTACTGGAATACTCAGCATCGGCCTAGCACCCAGGTCTCGGGTCAGGGTGGCATTCACAACCACTCGAGAGACTAAAGTGGCGACAGTTCTTCAAGACAAGAATACACCTCGACTTCAGCAGCAGTACGATGAGAACCTCTCGATGGAATTTCATGAGACCGAGTGCATCAATATCGGAGCTCTGCAGCGACATAACCCCAGAGACTAAGCCATGATATGCTCCACAGCAGCGGTCTGAAGACCAATAATTACTTACTGGTGCTTTTCCCTATACGGTTTGCCTGTCGAATAACTAGCCCGCATGCGATATTCATGACTGTATTTACCCAGTGTAACGTCACTCATACTGCAACTGAACCGTACGGAAACCTTTGATATAAGGTACGCAAAAGCGACAAACTCAGTGTCTCCCCATCGAACAGAAAGCCCGGTCTGATGGAGTGCAGCTCAATGATTCTCGAGGTCGTTACCCACAGACAAATGGCCACAAATGTGAGAAAGCTTCAAATGTCTGCATATCGCTACGGCCCCTCATGGACAAAACCACTGGCCATTGAGTCTTTGGATTGGCTGCATCTTTTAGCACAGGGTTCAACCCTCGGCGTGGCTTGTCCGAAGAGTGGATTCGACCAAAAGGAATACGAACTCCAGCCAACTTCTCGACCAGGGGCACAATCACGAGATAGCTCGATACTTAGGCACCAGGGGCCAGCCAGGCAACATTGGAGGAATTTCGGAACAAGCCGTCGAAGTCTGTTTGATCTAGTGGCATAAACTAGACTCGATTGCGACCGTGAACAGAATGGGGTGTCAAGAGCGAAGGCGCTAACAGTTCTCGCCCCCCCCCAGTCCGGTTTGCCACGCAAAGAAAGGGATCCGGACGTATCGCGACTGGTCTGAGGCCTAGAAACTCATGAATATTTGTTTATGAGTGTAAAGTAGGAAGAGAGAGGGTATGGGACTTTCCAAGCCCTGAATCATAACGAGAGACAACTTAGTATCCGATTCTGCCCTGTTGGACCCTGGTGAAATTATCTCGACGGGGAAGGAAGAAAAAAAGCGTGAGTCTTAGCGCCGGCGCTAAACCCTCCCAAAAGGCTCCATTCCGGACCCTTTTTCGAAACCCTGCCAATCAGTTACCCGAGGAGGCAATCTATCAAGATGCAGCAATTTCCACCAGTTCCTCCGTGGAGTGATATGAGGCTCGAACCTCGAGGTAATTATAGATAAGCCCTGTTGGACACCACAATGGACCCTGGACTGCCCTCGTTTGGATTCTCCCTCCTCTCTCCCTTCCTCACCCACCATTCTCAGCGGTTGTCCGTCGGAGATGGCATCCTCACGTTCGTTTTCGGGATTCATCTCCCTTCTGCTTCTGTTCCAACTCTCTTCCTTCGTTTATGCTGCCCCATGGATTGTCACTGCAGACTACCAGGAGGTGGTCACCACAGAAAGGCATTACTATGCAACGTACACCACCACTCTCATTGAGCAAATTACTCCCACCGTCACTTCCATGCCCGAGGCAGTCTCCACCGCTACCTCCCTCGGCTCCTCGAATTACTACTATTACTACAACGACGACGATGACGCCGAAAAGGATGTGACTATCATTCAACAACTTTACCCAACAGGCGTTGGGTCAGTGGTTGATGATTACGACTACGATTATGGCTATGGCTATGACGACGATGACGTTTACCACAGTACCAAGTTCGTTGTCAACATGACATATTCGGCGCCCACTGGTTGCTCGTCTCGCTGGACCCAAACAACAGCTGTTGAGGTTGTCCCGCCTACAGAGATACAGGATCTGCTCCCACGCACGGCTGTTGCTACATCGATCTCGGTCGACTCTGTGAGACCTTTTCAGCCAACGACTTACACTATCGACATTGTCTACGTTGATCCCACGCAGCTCCCCACAAGCTCACTGGAGTCAATGAGTTTGTACAACCGGCCTACCTCATTGTATACTGCTTCTAGCTGTGCCTACACTGGCAGCAGCGGGAACGGGTACTACAGCGGCAGCTCGTACTACGGCTATTACGGCTATGATGACGGTTACAACTGGTTTACGGACGATTACTACATGGGTATCACGCCGCTGGCACTCACCCTCATCTTGACACTTGGCTGGATCGGCCTCTGGTTGATACTAGGTTTCATTGAGGCGTGGATTCGATTCCGCCGCCTGATGATGGGCTGGCAAACACGTCGCGGTCTCCCTGTCTGCTGGTCACTGACTATTCTCCCCTTCACCCTGTTACTGCTCTGCTTTTTCCGGAAGGGTTATCGGGCTCGCTCTGATGCAGATGGGGAGGTCCTTCGCAAGCGGTGGAAGGCAATGGGGTTCTGGACCAAGCTGCGGCTCTTCTTCGTCTGGGGATTTCGGTACAAGTACCCGCCGGTACTCGGTCCTGCACCCGCCCGGGTCAAGACCAGCAAGCAGCCAGCAAAAAATCCTGGTCCTCGACTGTTGGAGCCTAGTCCCTCGCCCAGCGTGGCGCCACAATCGCGGCCGGGATCAGCCTCTGCATCCACCGCTGCTGCTGCTGCTGCTGCTCCGGCTTCTACTCCGGCTGATCCCGAAATGGCGATGGTTTCTCCTCAAGTCACACACCCACAAGAAACCACTGTGCCACCAACGACGAATACTGCCCCGGAAGCGCCACCTCGTCGCCAGGATGATGAGATTGGTCGGGCGAACTAATCCCTCAAGTCGTGTTCAATATGCTCATGGTCCTAGTGTGATACCCTGAAACTCACTCTTTCTTATATTATCATCCATTACGTCACAGAGAAACCCTCATGTTATGTCCAATGTCCAAATGTATTCCATATTAAGCTAATGTATTTACTGGGTCCTACCATTTGGGCCAGCCGACGGTGTCCGCGGTAACACCAGTCAACATATATCTAATAATATCTATCTACCAAGAATACCATACCGACTAGTTTCAGTAAAATGATATGACAAGTGACTGGCTCTTTCCTGTGGCATGCCCCGGGAAGGATCGACTATCAACATCATGAGTTCTCATGTATAAGGTGAGCAAGCAGGGTAGGTGTCTTGGTAAACGGTTTTCCGAAGTATGGCGAACATCAATCGATTGTTCAATTTGCGCCGCTATTCATCACTGCTGAGGCCGGTCTCGCGGTTGAACTAAAAGGGAAATGAAGGCGAGCATTATGATTTTTCATTATGATTTTTCTCCCCTAGGATTTTCTCTTCTTGTCCTCTCTCTTTTCATCCTTGAATGAAGAAGAAGGGACCGCCTTATTTTCTGAACGAAAGCCTTAAGCTCAATTGAATAAGGTGGCTCGAGCGGCATGGACTCCAGCTCTTCGCTGTTGACGCGCTTGCGACCGTCGAAGCGGATTGGCGAGCATCGCCTATGTAGGCGACTTTCGCGACGCTCTCCGGTAATTCTCATGGCTTATTCGCCCCGGATCCTCACCAACATATTTATAAGGCGCATGCTTGGTACGTTAAGCAATAAACCCAAATTTAGCTTTCTTGAGGTCAGGATACCCAAAATGACTGTCATCGACAAACCAGACGAAGTCTATCCCCCAATCCCCGTATACGGTGGTGAGTCAACCTGGTAATTTATATCCAATGGCTGAGCATGCTTACATTCATCTGCACAGGCCGGTGGACTCCGCCAAAGCGCCTTCTGGACTGCTACAACCACATGTGGATTGACACAGACGTGTGGGAGCTTCCAGAAAATGTTACATATGAGCTCTACAGCCAGCCAACGCGCGGTCCCGGAGCCCAGGGCTCCTATCTCGTCGTCCTACCACCGGGCTACGATGACTTAGATGTAAACGGAGAGCGATACCCCGTACTCTACTGGCTACATGGGGGCTTTTCATGCTCCCGCCATGCGCTGTGGTCACTCCAATTTTATGCACGCAAAATGGAGCTGGGCACCATGCCCAAGGTGATTTTGGTCGCACCGCAGGTACGTAAGGATATCATTATTATTTTACAGATCTGTTCACACCGTTCGTAGGCATTGCCAAAAGGTCGCTGGATCAACAGTTACGATGGCAGCCGCCGCCTTGGGGACATCATGCGCCATGATCTCGTCACAGCCATTGATGAGCGGTACAGGACCATTAGACATCCATCAGCGCGTTGGCTGGAGGGTCACTCAGCAGGAGGGTACGTGGCTAAACACCCGTAGATTGTTCCTTTTACTGACAGTTGACCAGTTATGGTGCCTTCAACCTTGGTCTCAAGTATCCCGATGTTTTCGGAGGCGCCTTGTCGTCACTTGCTGGCTCGTTCAGAACGGAATTAGCCAAGGAAGGCTTTGAGGTTACTTACGACACTTACAACGGCTCGCAGGAGTTCTTCACCTCTAATCATGCCCTTACGCTCCTGAAGGGAATCCTCCCTCGGGTCCATCGCGACAAGCCGGAGTTGCGTCTGCTCATTGGCGGCGAGGACATTAGACTACGCGAAGCACATGAGCACATGTGGACCAGCTTGGATGTTCTGGGTGTGCCTTACACAAAAGCTATTGTCCCAGGAGCTCCCCACACAGCAGAGCATGTCCTGGGTGGCCTGAACAACGATGGTCTCCAGTTCTGGTGGAACGCACGGGCAAAGGTTGTTGAGGCCTGAACTGGGGCGTGCTGGGCCCTTCCATTTGGAGTAGTACTAGTACCTCACTCTAGAAATCGTACTCCCTCATCATCAATAAGCTCTTATAAATAGCACAAAATGAATGAAGTATGTGATGCGACACAACCCTGCTTTCGTATGCCACCCGTACAGGGATTCGACCTCTACATGTCGCGGCGGAAAATAATTTTTTTATCGGGCGTCGCACAATCAATTCACTTCGTCAGAGATAGACGCATCAAACACTCTGTAAATAAAAAAGTTTATGAACCGTTTGGGATAGGAGAGCAGAGGATTTTCTCTACGGTCGTTACAAGGTATTGGGTATAGAATATCTCTTCACAGGGTAGATGATAGACTAAAATGGCTCAGATCGTGCCTCGAATTGACAAAGAGTACGTGGAAAAATCCCAATTATCGATCTATTACAGATATTCCAGTGTAACAGCGTCCTAGATAGAATACTAATTTGCTAGCATAGTTCCGGCGTAAGTTTAGACCTTGTTCTCGATTTGCTGTCGAGCTTCAGCAGTTGATGATTCTGCATTGTGGTTGCTGCCCGCCCTCTTGTTCTTTTTTTGCTCCAGCCAAGCTCTAGCAGCCTCCTTTTGCTGTTGATCATCGTCCCTCTTCAATGAGTAGTCCTTGACGAAAAAGACGCAAAGAAAGAATTGAATGCCGGCCAGGGCAGTCATCATGTAATATGTGACCTGCACTCCGTGGGCTGTCTCAAACATTTCGTCAATGAATCGCTCCGCCAATTAAGAAAAGTGGGGCATATAATTGGTTGGGATGTAAATGGATAATATGAATAAAGCACAGTAGGGCAAGGGACGACCCACCGTACGCATTCAGTGCTTCTGATTTTTGTGCTGCGGATAGTGACATGGAGGCTATCTTGGTGGGATCAGCGATGATTTCGGAAATGATCGATGGCCGGAAGTTGGTTCCCTCGAGCTTTGTCCTATCATTCCCTGTCAACAAAGCTTGCTTGAGAGCCAAATTCGAAAAGAGAAGGAAAATCATAAAAGCAAAGCAGTAATGGTTGGGTAGATGTAAATGAATTTTGGCTCACCGGACAATGTTGTTGACAATAGCCGAACTCGCTGCTACAGCCAAAGTCGAGCCCATCATT